TTCACGAGCCCTCTTGGAGAAGAAGGCGTAAGCAATCCATTGCCGCCATTCGTGAGTAGTTATTTCGTGATCAAATGTCATCTCATCATACGGCTCGAGCGGGAACATCAGCTGCATCACTAAATTGCTCGTTGTCTGGTTGACTACCATCGCCGACCCCATTGCGTGTAAGTCCACAGGGAGCAGCGTTGGATCGCAATCCAGAGACAACAAATCCAGTTGGTGTTGATCGGAATCGCACCCGAACCGATCAGGGTACGTGACTTCTCGAGAACGTCGAGTGCTGCCAAAGAGATGCGCCATGAGTTGACCAAACACCTTCCGCGACTCAAGTTCACTCCCAAAGTCTCGTAAATGCCTTTCAGCACAGAGAGACACTTCGGAGAAACAGAGGTTTCGCGTCATCATTTTGCCCATTTTCGTCACCATCGCCGGCCAAGTCATCACGTCTTCCAAGTCAGCAACCAAAGGCTTGAGCACGAACATGCATCTGAGCTGTTCCGACCGCACCTCTCGCGGTTCCACACTCTTCCACATGTCATGAATCGTCTTCTCTGCTCTCAAAATGTTTTTGAGATAGTGCGGTCCTCCGTCATAAACACATTGCACCGGGATTCGAATCTCCACGCCAGGGTTGTAAGACTTTAGCTTGGTATCAAAAGCTGCGATTTGTGCGAGCGTCTCGAGATACCCATCTACAGGCATCTCGTGGTGGTCGGTGCCACAGAATTGGACCAGATTCAGACCAAGATGGTCTTCTTCGTATGCCGTGCGTTCGTCTTGCTCGTGATCCAATACCAGATAATACTCAGCTGGAAGATCCCGTTCTACATGTAGTTTCGCACTCCCCTCCTTCCCCAAGCGCACGCCGCAGTGCTCCTTCAGCAGGTACTTCCAGGCCAGTTGGTCCACGTGAGCCACTGCTGCCAAGAGTGCCAGAGCCTCGCGGACCTGGCAGAATTTATCCTGGAAGTAGTCCTCGCCCGACCACTCCATGTCCAGCTCGAATTCCTCCCCGTCGGAATCTTCCGTGAACTGGCAGCGCATCGGAAGACTCACCTCCAGCCGGTACTTTTGCCCACACATCCCAGTCGCGCTCCAACGGCTTGAGCTTGATCTTCTTGTGCAGCACCTTACACCACGGCAGTATGAAGCTCCAGCGCTGCTCCATCTCGAAGAGAGCGGTCGCCATCGCGATCCGCCACAACGTTTGAACAATATTACTGATAATTGGATACAATTTGATTATCGCCTCGAAAAATATTTTTGATTTTATATTCAATCCATTTTAATTTGTTTCTTAACAAATACCAATAATAAGAATAATGGTATTATATACGGAATTATTATTGTCAAATAATATATTTCAAATACAGTGAGCATTCGAATTGTGAATTCGCCTGGAAAAGTGCAGCTACAGCAATAGATACATCTACAACAACTCCGCGTAGCGGCGGCACTCGGCTAGTACGTAACGAAAATCGTTGGCGGACATTATCGTGATGCTAATGATTGATAAGTTTTAGCATTGGGGTTAAATAGTGAGCAGTATGCTGTCAGCATTTATGGCAATATATGTCGGCAAATGATGCATCTGGTTCAACTCAGTGGCGAAATTCCCTCGCAAGGCCCCCGCCTCCCTCGATAGACAAAGATGGCGGCCCCTCCGAGCGCGTACACCCACGCCTACAAGGACGCCACCAACTTCTTCCTGGACTGGCTGCTGCGTGCACGTGGCCGCGGACATCACAGCCGCGTGCAGCTGCAGACTTACTGCGCCATCGTGGAGGAGATCGCGGCAGATCCGTCGGTTCTCACGCCAAAGCTGCTGCAAGAGCTGCCCAAGGCCCTCGCGGCCTGTCAGTGTGCCATCAACTCGTTCCTGATCCAGCAACTGGTGCTGCTGCACAATTCAATGGTGGCTTTGAAGACCGCAGGCGTGAAACCTTCCGGCCCTATGGATGTGTTCTTAATGATGATGGAGCCGTATTTCACCACGCGCGTCGTGACAGTCCCCGTAGTTTTCACGTGCATTTGCTGGATTAAATCGGTCGCTGCTCTCCAGGGGGACGGAGGGCTCGGTCGAAACGTGAGCCTTACGTTCAAGCATTCTGTGGAGCTTGCACAACGTATCGACACCAACTTGGAGAAACGAACGAGGCTCTCTACAAAAGCCAAGGAAATGCTGGAGCGCTGCTCCGGGGAGATAAAACAATTCAGACAACTCAAGCATTTGGCAAGCGCGAACCCGATATACGTGGGGCTTTCGATGCTCGAATACGACTTGAAGTATCTGTACGTGGCCAATGAAGTTATCCTGTCGTCGTCGACATTTTGCGCGCTCGGCCATCTGTACAACGCACTTGTGAAGGAGGGATATCTGGAGCGTATTCCTGTTTTGGACGATGTGCTGCAAGTGTTTTCACTCCGTCACGACATGCGACCCACGGTGCTTACCACCGGTCCTTCCTGTACAGCCGCAACATTCGACCTTCTACGCTGAGTGCGATTTATCGTGGGGAAACTCCGCCAGTTGGGAAAGTAGCACTAAAACAAGGGAAACAATTCCACTTGAGCGATGTGTCAAACATCTTCCGGCTGCTGATGCTGAAGGACAAGTCCGTTTTGAGTGGTGTGCCATGGATGGAGGTCCTGTATAATGCCGCGCACGCAGACTTGCTCCAAGGAGCTTTTCCAGACGCGTGTGCTATCGCGAGATGTGCTACGACTTTTCAATGATCTCACGGGTATGTTTGACGAGCTCTGTGCTGTTTTGAATCGACGCCAGTAGTGCGCCAAGATGGCAGTGTATCTGGATTTCGATGACTCGCGTCAGCACCGGCAAAATGCTGCTGTGGTGGTGTCAGTAATGGCGCTCGTGATGCCGCTTCTCGATGCTGTACAGCATGATGGATCAATCGACATGAGTGCGCTCTCTGGTGGGCTGGGTACTACGGTGACGAAGGACGTGGTTGTGACTAGGTGCAAGAAGGTGGCAAAGGTGATGAAACGCAGGTTTGGCACTCCAACTGTGGAGCAAACATACTTCACTTTCCTACCACGGCCGAATTTCGTCAGTCACGAGTACGGCACGAAATCGTTCAAGGAAGTTACGCGAAATGAAAAGCGTGCCTTCGTGTTGTTGGTGTTGATGCACATGATGAGAGAAAGTAAGGGGCCAACGCCAAGCAATCGCGAGCTCAGCTGCGAAGCAGATAAGTTAGATAGATACGCGTAGGTACTCGTCAACACCTGTTCGGCTTGAAGTCTGCCGCTCCCAGCACACAATCGACATGCGACGGCAGCACGCGTCCTTCACGGCGTTCTCGAGCTGTGGGCTGTTCTCGCCTCTTTACGCGCTCATCTTGATAGTTGTGAGCTGGTAGAAGTGGCTCTTGTACGCGCTCAGCAAGTTGATAGTCGCGAACTGGATCAGCAACCCCGGCTGCCCTTGCTGTTCGTAGCGAGCACCAATCCGTAGGGTGTCGTGCGGGTTTGGGCCATGGCAGATTCGCTGCTCCGTGCAGCAACTCCAAGTACCTCTGAAGGGCAGGCATAGCGGTATGTCGGAAGGTGTAGGTGATGTCACGGTCAATACACCAACCACAGCTCACGTGCTGGCGACCCACACACTGGACCAAGTAGCGCTGCTACTTGTGCGTCCGCTCGCGCTGAATCAGCACTTCAAATAACCTGCCGTACGCCTGGTGAGCTGGTCTCCCACTTGATGTCAAGTACACATTGGGGTCGTATGAGTCGTACTGGTAGTTAACGACCCTGTGTTGCCTGGTATACCGCGACCGTGAGGCAGCTTAAACGCCGCTGTGGCCGCAGTACTCGACGTCACGCACGGCCTAATAGCACGGACGGCACCGGAGATTAGCGTAGTAGAAGGTGTAGCACTTGGGGATGCCACACAGCTCGTGGTTCTTGGTCATGACCGATTCAAGGCTGTAGCAGCCGTCCAGGAAGTTGCACAGCTCTCCACGGAGTCGGTTGTCTCGGAAGTCCGACTCCTTAAGAAACTTGAGGCTAGCAATGCTATCGGCCACTCAGCCCTCCAGCGCGTTGTCGAAGAGTTAGAGATCCTCGAGGTCTTCAAGCTCGCCCAGCGTCTCTGCGATGGGGCCGCTGAGCTGGTTGCTCGACAGGTTAAGGAACTCGAGCACCTTGCAGCAGCCGAGCGACGGCGGGATGATGCCCGTTAGCTCGTTCTTCCTTAGCGACAGGAACACGATCACCTGCATGCGGCCAATATCCGTCGGGATTTTGCCCGTGAGGCAGTTGCCGCACACGCTGAGCTTCGTGAGCTGCGTGAGTTGACACAGCGCGTCGGGCAGCAGCGCCCCGCAGAGGTTGTGCTGCAACAGCAGCGTCCGCAGACTCTGGGGCTTGACCAGTTTCTTGGGGGTCGTCCCGGACAGCGAGTTCTGGTACACATTGAGCTCCTGCAGCTGCTCGCAGTCGCCGATCTGGCGCGGGATGGCGCCCGAGAGGTCGTTGCAGCTCAAGTCAAGGCGCTTGAGGTCGGCGAGCGTCCCCAGCTCGGCCGGGATCTCGCCGCGCAGCTGGTGCTTGGACAGGTCGAGCACGCGGAGTTGCGGCAGGCGCGCGAGGCTGGCAGCGGGCAGACACCCCCTCAACTCGTTGGCCGGCAGCTCGAGCGCCACGACGTGGCCATGGCCACTTCGACGCCGACCCACTGCTCCGGGTTGTGGTAGAGCTCCACGAGCGCGGCCACCTCGGTCGGCGGGATCTGTACCTGTAGCGCGAGGCCAAATTACAGCAATCCTCCGAATAGGGCACCGCTGGAGATGGTCGAAGATCGGGGTCGCAATAGCGAAACCAAGTCACATCTTTTGCAAGTAATTACGCCAAGTACCTAACAGTAAAGACGGTAAAAAACGTTAGAGTAAAAACGGAAAACACACACCAACGTTGGAAACGTTGGACGTTTTTACCTGCCCTTAGGGCATGCCTTCTGCTCTTTTTGCAAAGAAAAAAGATGGGATTCGACGGCAAACACCGCCCTTGTTACAGTATCTGCCTGCACTACCCACACTCGGTTTTAGGAAGTTTTTTTTGCAGTTTTTGCTGCATACCATGTCTTGTACATCCCGGTCAATACACTGTTTTCCCCCAACTTCGCCTGGATAGTGCTCGGAGTTTCCCCGAGCCTGTACATGATCCTCATGAGTCCCGCCCCGATGCCATCATACAGCTTCGTGGTTAAGATGGTTTTGAGCTTGCCAAGGTGATTCTTGAGGGTTGATGTAGAGACACCTCTCTCTCCATCGCCGTAGTCGTCAACGTCGGCATCGCCCTCCTTCTCGTCGAGCCGCAGATTTTTCTTCTTGTTGGCGTTGTAGGTAGCACTCAGCGCGAAAGCCGGCTCGGAATCGGTCGTAGCGGAGTTGGTTACCCGGGTCGAGTCTGCCCCGACGCTCGATAGCAGCGTGATCAGCGTCGCGAGGAAGATCCAGAGCAGCAGACGCATGGCAGTAGCTCGTCGGAGATGCTTTGGCGGAAGAAAGGAAATTGGAAAGTGATGCAAACCAACGTGTTCTGCGCGGTTACCTCGGACTGGATGAGCAGAACTCACTGAGTTGCATGGTTGTCTATGTGTCTCAATGCAGGTTAGGGTTACCAGCGGGAGGAGGGGGGGGGTGAAAGCGATTTCCAGGGTTTCACAAATTCGCCCCTACCGAACCTGGGGCCCCCTTAACTATTGGCAAGCCTGGGCTCATCGTAGAGCCAGCCTTGCCCTTTAGCTTTCTAACGAGCCCAACTTCACTTAATGATATTTCGTGCGGCCTTCAGGCCGTTCCGTTTACTAGAGCACTCGTGGAACTTTGGAGATTTGGCGTGGGTGACCTCCGTCCCCGCCCAGCTGCCAGACTGGGCCAAAGTATGGCCATGATAAAAACACGATTTGCATTGGGGTGTTTTTTTGCGGTATCAGCAGCAAGAGCCGGATTGGATATGATCATGTTTTGCTTGGATCGGTTTTGGGATCGGGCATTGTAGGGCTGACACGGCGCGACTGCCGCCCAGTGGTGACACGAGAAAACGTTAAAAACACACGTTCAGATCTGTGTTGCAATATCTCGTTGCGTAAGCCGCGAGTCGATGTGAAAGAGAAAGACACCACGGCGAAGGCTGTAGTCTACCTAAGTAATTAAGTATGCGTTGATATGATTCCCCCCTTCACAACTGAGCAGAGTTGCCGCGGTAAGAGACTTGCGAGAACTAAGTACCGTTGGGAGCCAACATACTAAACTAATATGAACCGAAAGCCTTGCGGCGCACACAATGTTTGCAGGTGGACATCCGTTACTCTATGAGTCGTCAATATACTACCATATCGCAATATTTACAATTGCATAACTGTAACCCGCTGTTTCGTAGCTCTTTTTCCAAGTAGTTCGCGAAGCTATTTGCTAACGATCAGGGCTAAGAAAGCCCAAATAACCACTGGTATTCTATCTGAAATAATTGCCTGGGCATCGTATTTTTTGCGCAATATGAAATAAATGCGTGCACCAGTACGAACAGTATTTGCTGTTATGAGCATACGCAAGTTGCTGCAACACGGTATAATATCATCCTCAACGAGATGTTTACACGAACTGCATTTTTTTGGTAAGATGTCTCTATTTCCAAACTACATTTATTCTGGGATAGCAGTAAAGCTGCTAGCGCAGCCCAAATCCGATGCTTGGGACAAAGCGGTGGCCCCAGCAACGGACCGAACACCGCAACTGGTGGCGCCGGCGCAACGTCTCAGAAGGCGTACCGCAAGCTCCGCTCGGAGTAAGGAAAGAGTAGGTCCATCAGGAGTCGCTCCGTGTTCTGGTCGGTTTGGCAAGGACGGCCTGCGTTTGGTGTCATTAGGTAATTGTCGATGCGTTTGAGTATGGTACACTACGAATAAACCGCAAACGGTATTTTGTTTGTTCACCTTCGGTCACTACATCTCCATCTCGTTGAGCTCATGCCAAGTGGCCGCTCAACTATCACCGTGGACTGCGTCAGTCAACAAGATATGTTTTTGTTTCCGCGCTGAAGACCGACCATCCTGCGTTGCGACTTCCAAAAAGCCTACACGTTTCCGAACACTTTGCTTCGATGTGGACTGAAGCCGTCCATGCCACCGATCAGCGTGTGGTAAGTGCGCGCTCGTCTAGATCGGGCCGGGAAATCAACTACTAGGTACTTACTTGACGTACTAGGTACTAACTTGACGACGACTATGTATGAATACTATACTTCAAAACCGAATCACAAGCGTGCATCTTACAGAGGTGACTCCTTTGCTTCTTTTTTATTGTGTGTCGTGCAAAGTCTGCTGGGTCGGCAAAATCGACATGTACCGACTTCATGTCGGGCCGAGAGACTGCCTGTAGCACTTCGTAGCTGGAGCGTTTTCAGATACAACAAGAGTGAGGTTATGAGGAAGCTAGACGGGAGTAAGGTTACGAGGAAGCTAGACTTGTATTTCTTTCGTTGCTACGCAGACAGAGACTAAAACTCGATAACATTGATACCGCTCACGGAAATACAAGCTTCGGTGAGTTGGGTTGGGTTGGGTTGGGTTGGGTTGGGTAGATGTACGAAGCCTCCCCACTCATTCCTGCGAGCGGAGCTTGCGGTTGGCGTTCGCAGTCGCTGACGCACTTGCTGTGGCACCGCCGCCGTTCGTGCTCGGGTAGCTGTTGTAAGCCGCGGGGGCAGCAGGCGCGCCATAACCGCCCACGCCCACGCCCACACCGGGGCCGTAGACACCAGGGCCGTAGACGCCGGGACCGTAGACTCCGGGGCCGTACACCCAGGCCAAGGGAATTGATGAAGGTGAAGATCTCACATCAGAATCTCTTACTCAACTCGAAAAGCCCAATCTCGCTCAACTCGAACGCGGCTCATTCCTGAGTTTGCAGGATCCGTGGACGAAGGACCTGTAGAGGAGGTTGGAGCGGTTGGTATTCCGCAAGGCTATCCTATTGCTACCTTGGCACTTTAATAGGACTGGGTACTTGGCTTCACATAACCTTGGTCTATTGAAGATAACCTATTTTATCTAAAGCTATTATGGATGCATGGAAACCAAATGACAATTTTATTTTAGGGAATGCACCATCTCCTGGGTCCGTTGAGCTTATACACTTTGTTCTATCGCGAAAAAGCTGGGTTATGTCGGCGGAAGGGCAGATGCAAAACAATAGTGGAGAAGCTTAGACCCTTGTATTTTGTTGAGCCGTCAAGACGACCAACGAATAAAGATTATTGCAGAATAACAGACAAGTTGTATAGTGCAAAAAGTATAACCACCAAGCACTACAATTTTATATAGTATTTTTGTAGGTAACACGCTACCTACGCGTACTATTTGTGGTATTACTATAGCTCCAAATTTGACTTAAAAATTGTATGGACGTGTCAGTACTATACTGTACTACTATACCTGCGTCAGTGAATCCAGGCAAACTGTCACAATCATTTCGTCAATTCTCAGTGAACATCACTGATTTATGGAAATTCCTCTTACTGTGTTGATCAGATCTGAACGTGTGTTTTTAACGTTTTCTGATGATCATATCCAATCCGGCTCTTGCTGCTGATACCGCAAAAAAACACCCCAATGCAAATCGTGTTTTTATCATGGCCATACTTTGGCCCAGTCTGGCAGCTGGGCGGGGACGGAGGTCACCCACGCCAAATCTCCAAAGTTCCACGAGTGCTCTAGTAAACGGAACGGCCTGAAGGCCGCACGAAATATCATTAAGTGAAGTTGGGCTCGTTAGAAAGCTAAAGGGCAAGGCTGGCTCTACGATGAGCCCAGGCTTGCCAATAGTTAAGGGGGCCCCAGGTTCGGTAGGGGCGAATTTGTGAAACCCTGGAAATCGCTTTCACCCCCCCCCTCCTCCCGCTGGTAACCCTAACCTGCATTGAGACACATAGATAACCATGCAACTCAGTGAGTTCTGCTGATGATGCCATCTTGGAGAGCGTCATGAGGTTCTTGTACAAGATGGGGGAGACTCCGATCAGTATCAGGACGAAGATGATGGGGAAAGACAAATTCTATGTCGGGATGTACAAGTCATGGTACGATGCCAAAACGAAGTCAGTGGGGCTTCACGCAAAAACTCCCTAAAAGGTGTGGGTAGTGCAGGCAGATACTGTAACAAGGGTGGTGTTTGACGTCGAATCCCATCTTTTTTCTTTGCAAAAAGAGCAGAAGGCATGCCCTAAGGGCAGTGAGGTATCTTGCTGCGAACGGAGACGAGAATCCCATCAGTTTAGCGTCATCCTCGACGAGGATTCCAGCGTTCTGAAATGCCGTGAGGCACTTAATGTCACTCGTAGTAAGTTTCGTTGCCATTTTGGATGGTAGTTGCACAGGGTGTGGAGCCTTGAGGAAACATTTGATCAGAAATTGTCGAGCCTTCGAACTGATCGGCGTGTCGTGGTCTCGGCCGAAGCACCTTGGCGCTCTCGTACGGCAGTTGTGTGACAACAAGTGCCTCATCAATCGAGATGCTGACGGTGAATAGTCATCGATTTCCACTTTGGCTGCGTTGATCGATATCCGCAGCGCGCTACCAAGCCCAACAGGCCTCACGAACCAGAAAATCGACAAATTGTTCTTTCTTGAATCGATCGGGCAAACCCATGCCTGGGAAATCCAAAAACTCTCTCGTTTCTTCGTCACTAAGCAAGAAATCACGTCTTCCAAACGTCACGAGAGTTCGAAACTCCTCGGGGCTCTCGACTCCAGATCTTCGCGTGGTCCCAGCAGAGATGATAAAGCGGACGTTGTCCGGCAGCCACGATGACATACATGCAGTTCAAGTGGGTGTACCGATGAGCAAACAGGATCAACAGCGAGGACTTTCCCGGGGCTGGAGGCGCTGATAAGAGGACGAATCGGTTGTTATCCGCCCACAAACTCGTGTACACTCTTTCCATAAGTTCTTCGCGCTCGAGGTGGGGCGAGTCCGTGCTCAGGCCGTGCAGGTAAATCTGGTTAACAAAGATCGGCGCGTTCAGCTCCACTTGCACAATTAGAGCTTCCTCCAGTTTTACTCCAAGGCCATCCAGTGGAGTTGCCAGCCGTAGAGGTTTCTTGTCTTCCTCCGGTACGCGAGGGTCGTAGATATTCACCTGACTTCGATTGACCCCACGCAACTCTTGCGAGCACTTGCGAAGGATCTTCTCTAGAAAGCCATTCACGACGCTAGCCCCATCCAACATGACGAACTCTGTCCGCCCATCGGGAAGCACGAACCACACCTATTGCGCCATCGAGGCAGTTTTCCAGCTTGTCAAAAGTACGGCACACTCACTTTCTATTTTTTCTAAGTATTTTTTCCTCGTTTTTGAAACATCACTTCAACATGAGAATCACAGTCGGTTGCACCATCTCGGCTCCTGATACCGATTCCTTATCTGATCCCTTCCTCCTCCATTTCGTCGGCTCGACTGTAGGTCGCACGAGCAATTCAAAAACGGCAAAGCGGTTGTCTAGGGTTCCTACATGGAACGCACGCAACGACACTACCCTCTTTCGTGCAGAAAGTTTTGGCCAATCGCATGGTGCAAATTGTTGTCCGACAAACTGTCTTACGTTTTGACGGACAAAATACAATGCAGCCACTGGTATACTAAAACCAAGATGTAGCCAAAATGCGTTGATTGCAAAACGCAAGACGCTTTGTCTTACGGTAGGCTCTCTGGGGCTAAATATCGTCTTACGAAAGAGCATGAATCACTCTTGATGAAAAGCAAGTCTAGCGCGCATGTCGTCGTTCCCTGCGTCCAAGTACTCGCGCTACAAGCGCGCCACCGCCTTCTTCCTGGACTGGCTGCTACGCGCGCGTGACCACGGACGTCACACAGGCAAGCGCGTGCAGCTGGAGACGCTCAGCGTCATCGTGAAGGACATTGCGGCGGATCCGTCGAGTCTCACGTCCAAACTACTGTAGGAGCTTCACAAGGCCCTCGCTGCGTGTCAATGCACTTCCTCGAGCTTCTGAGGAGCTGGCTCGACACTCTGAAGGGGATGGAGGTGCCAGGCCCCGGTAGAGCCGTTCGAGAGCTACTACGACATTCTACAGGTGGACGAGGACTACTTCCCTGACGAGGACACGGGCTTTGGGGCCTCTGGGGTCCCCAAGAGAGCCAAGGCGGACAGGAAGAGGCTGTTCGAGGAGGCGTTCGCTGAAGATCTGAAGCTGGAGCTGGTGTGCTACTTCTTGGAGCTGGAGGAGCTGGTGGAGGGGGTGTTTGACGTCTACGACCAAGTGAAGAAGCAGCAACACACGCTGGTGGAGGCCACAGTGGCGAAAGTGGCCATGAACACGGTTAGCTCAATGACGGCGCAGTTGCAGCTGAAATACCCAGCACTCAAGACGGCGGAAGATGTATTCACTCTACTCAGGGAGCAAATCCTCGAGAGGGTTCAGAAGCGTGTTTCCAATGCTGTCACTGCTGCGCGGCAGAAGTTTGAGGAGGGGACGCCTTTCACGCATGTTCCAGGCATGCTGCTGATTGACTTCGAGAACGTTTTGTGTACGTTGAAGACTTTTGCGGGCCTTTTCCCGAAGGAGGCAGACTGTTTCTACAGGGCTCTTTGGGGGAAAGTTATGGAGAAGACCGGACTCTTGAGTACGTGCTACCAGACCCCAGCTCTAGACTGGTCATCCTGATCGCGCAGCAGTTGCCGATGTTGTACAACGCGTATGTGGATAGGGTGAACCACACTGGATCTGGATTTGATCAGTTTGGATTGGTGAGCTCATTTATGAAGCTCACGGAGGACTATTTCAAGTCACGCAAGGCTTCAGTCGAGGCTGTCATGGCTTGCTTGCGTTTTTTGGATGAAGTCAGTCGTGCCGCTGCAAGGAAATGCTGATCTCGGCCGCAATGTGAGCCTTACGTTTAAGCACTCAACGCGAATAAAGGGGATTATGGAGGCTTGGCTTCAAAGACGACCGGAGGCGATTATGGAAATTTTTACAAGTTTTAGCGGCATCCAGTCGAGGTCAGCAGGTTGCGCGCTTAAAACCTCTAGTGGCTGGGTTCTTCGAACTGGATAACGACTTCCAGTTTTTGCGCATCGCGCACGACCTGGTGGTGTCGACGACGGCCTTTCGTGCGTTTGGCCACGTGTACAATGCGCTTGTGAACGAAGGATATCTCGATCATATCACGTTTTTCGACGACGAATTGAGGATTTACGAGCACATGATATTCACTCCTTCTCAAGCTACGGCGGTGCGTGGCACTTATCTGATTAGTACGGGGTTTAGTACGACTGGAGTCCGTGGAGTATACCAAGGTACACTTTCAGCTGGAAGTGAATCGTATCGAGACCGGAAGAAACCTAACATGGAGGATTTGTCCCAGATATATCGCTTGCTTCATCATCATGACGCTACTGTTCTGAAAGGCGCATCACCGAAGGATCTGCTGGAGAAAGCTGCCGATATTTGTATTTGAGACGCCCGTTCTCTCTCGGGACATGGTGACGCTCAACGACGACCTTGCTGATGTACTCTGTGAAATGTTCGACGTGTTGAGCGAAGGGTGCCTCGATCTACTTCCTGAGGCGGTCCCTGGGGAGTCTCGGAATGATCGCCTCGATCGCGCGTTGGAGAATTTGATGCCTGTCTTGGCACAGTTGGATTCCTCGCAGCAAAATGGTAGTACCATGGACCCCAGTATGATTCCGGCGGAAGCTCGAAACGAGAATATGGGAAGCGAGCGTCTCCATGAAGGATGCAGACAGATTTCAGCCATAGTCAAAGCCAAATTTGCGTCGTCATCAGGCTTCTGCGAGGATAAATACTTGACTTACCCCATCCAGGCGGACTTTGTCCGACAAGAGTATGGGTCGGCGTCTTTGAAGGGGTATACGGAGGCGGAAAACCATGAGGAGGTGTTTCACGAGCTGATGAACTTGCTGCAAACAAGCAATGGTCCACTCCGTGAAAGAAAGTTGGAGCACCTGAAAGACGAAATCAAGAAAGATCCTGACCTGCTGGCCATGGTGTCCCTCCGTAAAGAATCGGACGAAATTGACGTCAATGCGGTTGAATATCCCGACGACGATCTCTGTGCACTGTTCCACCAAGCCGCAGCCGGCCCTAGTCACGATTTGCACCTCGTCGAGTGGATGATTCAAATGGGGGCGCTAGGTAGTCAGCCACTACATTGTCGGAAGAAGTCTAGACAGCGGAACGTGAAGTGCGACGGGGTGGTTCTCTCGAATACAATGGCTGTACACAGTGCCGCAATTGCAGGTCACGATGACATTGTGTGCACGATTGTGGGTGCAGACAACATGCTGGACCTGGACACGCCAACCTTTTACGTTGGCGAAACACTTGCACATTTGGCTGTCAAACATGGCCATCGGGATGTGTACGATCTGGTCGTTTCGGTAGGGGCCGATCTATCTCTTCGCGATAGCAACGGGAAGCGTGTATGTGATGTAACTACGGATCAGCAGTGGAGGGGCAAAATTGTGTCCAGTATTCTGCAAAGGAAGACGGTTCGAGGATCTATGAGGAGCATGGCCCTTTTGACGTTGGTTAGGGCAAAAATTGGTTTTTGTCCAATGATAGCACACTTGATTAGAAAAACCTCGTTGATTTTGAAGCGAGATATCTCGCTTACCTGACCTTTCCACAAGCTGTAATTGGTTCACCAAGCTAACATTGGCAATAGCAACTCATCCTGAAATTGCGATGAATTATCGCTAATTTTTGATAGAATTACGAAAAAAACTACGAAGGACTAAAATTGCTGGCAGAAAAGGCGTTGTGCCTCCTTCAGTTCTCACAGATAATGGGCAGCAAAAATCAGGCGTTAGCGCCTGCCTTTAAGCTTCATGATAAGGTCTCACATGGCCAAAAAGCTTAAGTAGAAGCGAAGATAGAGCACAATTTCGAAATCATCATACTTTCGTGGGACAGAGAAGTATTTCTTTTGTCGATTGAACCCCTTGGAAATCTCATCCGGTATGTTCCTGAGCACGGCATATCTGTCTCAACTGACTTTGTTGCCACTGGGCTTTACTTCGCTGATGACTCAACGCTCCTATCGTGTTCACTAGCTGGATTATCTCTCCAAGCGGAAATTGTGCAGCAATATTGTGCTGGGTCAGGTGCCCGTTTGAATCTTGACAAGTCGCAGCTTTTGGCTTTCCATGGAGCTCGAGTGTCGGCTCCTACGTCTCTAGTCGGTGTTGCTACATCCGAGTCTGTCAAGTACCTAGGCATTCCTATTGGCCACCATGTGACCGATGAGGTTGTCTGTGCCTCGCTCGAAGCCCGGGTTGGTACGAGACTGGCCCGGTGGGGCCCACGAGAGCGTACGCATCGTGGCAGACTGCTAATTCTTCAAGCTATGGTTCTCTCTGGCATTTCACCCTGCACTTTTCGCTACCCGATGCTACGGTTAAGCGTCTCCAATCGCTGCCAGAGGAGTACTTATTGACCAGGCGAGGGGATCCATCCCGTCATTTTGTGAAGCTGGCCAAGCCTTCGATTTGCTACCACTCTTTTCGTAACGGAGGGCTTCAGATTCCTCACCTCGCCACTATTTTCCGTGTGCAGCGGCTAAGGTTGCCACAGCAACACGTGACAATGCCCGACAATGAACCCTGGCGAGCCGCTATCACCGCACGGGGTCTGACATTTCAGGCGGCTCCACGGAGCATCCATTCGGCTTTGTCACCTGTCCGTATAATGTTCGATCGGCGTGGGTCCGAGTTGATCTCCTCTCTACATGGTGGAAACGTACGTGGAAAGCGTGGTCTACAGTTGCGTGGTTTCAACGAGGTGATCTCGTTGACCCTGTTCACTTTCAAGCATCTTTGCTGCGTTCGTAGATTTGGCACTCAACACGCCCCCTTCTGCATGGTGGGGAGGCTCCCGCCACGCTTCTAGGCAAGGCGGGGGAGACGCGGAAATTTCGCATGCAATTTGCTGCTGAGACCGGATGTCGTTGTCTGCACGATTTCATGAACGCTGGGTGGCCTGAGGCTCCAGCTTTTCTGTCACGATTTATGCTGGTGGTCTCGAGTCTATCATTACTATATCGTATTCGGCACCTGATGAACCTTTACGTGGATCTGAGTAGTGGCAATGTTACGAGATCTGGTGGCCTTTATGAAGGTCCCTGCATTCTAACACCATCACTTCCTCTGGTTGGAGTTCGTCGTCTGCAGCAAGTTATTCTCTTTCCAAGGCTACAGAAGACCGATGTGTGGCGGCTAATTGGGTCCCCCCAATTTGCTTTCTGCGATCACCCACTCGCACACCAAGTTTCCGGTACCAATGCTTCGAAGCTGGCCGCGACAATTGCGGCGACTAAACTTCTTCGCAGTCTTGCCCTTCCCGTTTACTCCGATCTGCAGTTCCGCCTCAGCTGGATGTTGCTCCCCACAAGATCTCGTTTCTATTTCTTACGGATACCCGGCTCCAGTGATCTTGCTTGTGGGTATCCCAACTGTGTCGAGGTGGAGACAGCACATCATCTCTTCCTAGACTGTTCTCGCGCAGCAGTGCTTTGGGCCGTCGTTATGCGGGACTGAACCAACTTTGTCGATGGTTCTGTCACCTCGGCCATGATCTGAACACTGGAGGAGCCCCACTGGGCACCTGGTAGGTATCGAGCGCGGAGCAACTGTCACTACTCTGGACGATCACGCGTTGCATCGTCATTCACGTGATTTGTACAGCCCGGAATAAACACCAGTTCGAGGATAGGCCTCCCCTTGACCCAGCCACGACGATCTATCGAGTTTACTCTGTCTTTGGCGCTCATTTTCGAGCTCTTTTGCGGTCGTCCGACCAACCAACACGAGCAAGACTTCGCCGATGCCTCCGACAGTTCCCTACTTCATCCTGCTTGGGTCGCTTCATTGCAACCCACCCACGGTTATTCAATCTCCGGTTGTCTGCCCTCTATACCAACGCCTCGGGGCGCCTACGGGCTCCACCGTTGTAGTCTACGACGCCAGTATTTTACATTTGTGTATGATAGCTAGTGTACAATTCTGCATATTGAGAAGTCCAGATAACCAACAACACGGTTAATCGTTAACCCCCCCCCCCCCCGTTATTTCTTTACATCATATACACGCAAGAATCAATTATACAATCAATCCCAACAAACGCGAATCGTTATCGTACGAATTCATGCAGCCACGGGGTCGCAATAGGCCCCACGCACCGAAATATCAAATTCACCAACTTGCACAGTGCTTATGGAAGCCTTCGATTCGTCGTCATTAAACTGGATTTCAACACCATTAGCCACCTCCATGACAATCTCACGAACTTTCTTCACCTCCAGTTTGTTGGCGCCGCCGTACAGAACTCGTCTGCCTTTTCCGCCAAGACATACCACGCCACTCAGTTCCGGAATGCCCTCTACCGCTGACTTGAGCTCATCAAACTGTTCGTTCGTCGTCTCCCTCTAGGTGCCAAGTCGAAGTAGACTGGGTGCCCAACCAGCCCGTCAAGTCCTCGCAGAAGCTTAGCGCTCCCCAGAGCGGCCTCCAAGTACCATTCCAACGCCCGCAACGCTCTGGGGCTCGACGCACACTCCATACCCACACTATCGCGCGCTGCAGAGTACATTTGGACGAGCGCTCGAAACGTCGACGGATCTCGTTTGTCGAAGGGCGTTTTCAGCAGCCGCTTCTCCAACACATCTACACCTTTTCTCGGTCTACCTGAGCTAATTAGACAAGCAAAGGTGGCATGTTTTAGTTTGGGGTGCACAAGAAGCCCAAATTAGGAAACGGAAATCTGAAATTGACAAACAAAGCTGCCTAACCTTCATTCAATGTGAAGTGGTACATTGTACCAAAAACACTACTCGCCGTACTTCATGTCCTTCATGCGAATCGCCGCGACGACAAACTTCGCTGCGTGAAGCTCCATCCTCTGCACCATCGCCTGCGTGATGCGCGGTATGCTCACATGCACAGCACGCTCGAGCAGCTGCATGCGAGCTTCGGTCTTTGAGATGCGTGGGCCGGAGCTTGTAGGCTGCGTTCGGGGGCGGTTCATCTCGTCGCGCATCAGCGCCAGGTACTGCTTGATGTGCCCCTTGAGAGCGCTGAAGCAGTTTTCAATTGGATTGCACATCGGGCTGTAAGGCCCGAGGCGCAGTAGGACGAGGTCGTCATGAGCAGGCACCAGCGCGTTCGTCTGGGAATGCGCTGGGGCGTTGTCGAAGACGACAACGATCTTCTTGTCGGCGAACTCGTTCTTGTAGACATCTGCCTCCTTGATCTCAGTGTACAGTGCCTCCACGAACGCAGCGTTCGTGTCCACTTTGATGCTGCCACGGTGCGTACGGTACGCAACCACGCCAAACGCAGAGGACACTGCACACTGGATCTGCAGGTTACCTCCTTTCGAAGGCGGCAGCTTCTCGACAGCCCGCTTCCCCTCTTAGCACGTCCGCGCGTGCGCTTCGTGTACAAACTGAAATTTGTTTCGTCGAAATAGAGAACGAGGTCGGCATCATCGTTGTGGCGGACAAGAGCTTCGGCAAAAGCCTTCCTCTTCCCCTTGTTCACCTCACCATTGCACGTGGTGGGCTCGAAACGAGTCTGTCGTACAATAAAAATAGTACGTGTGATTAGAACCATAACGTTAAAATATACTCATGAGCTCACACATTTGACCTGCTTGACCGTAAAGAACATGCCCACGAGGTGGCGCGAAATCGTGGCCTCAGAGAGAAGCACGTTAAACTCGCTCATGACCATGGTGCGTAGCGTGCTGAGCGTGTATGTGCAGCACTCGTCCAGCCACAGCTCCAAAGCCGCCTTGATCTCGGGCGTGACCTTGGTGGCCCGCGCACCCCCGCGCGGGAGGTCTTCGACGCGTCCAGTGCGCACAAGGCGCTCCGCCGTGGTCCCGGGGAAGCCATTGTGACTGGCTACAGCACGCCAGTCACCACCTGAGCTGTGCGCGTCGAGGACGCGGCGACGCTCTTCAGGCGTGTGGGGCTTGGGGCTGGGCTTGGGGGAGGCGTGCGGGGACATCTGTGGGGCTGGAGGAAGATCGAAGAATGAAAACTGAAGCAGCCCCGCTGCGCCAGCCTCCACGAAGCGCAGCTCGTTTGGCTGCGCTGATTCTTCATCTGGCATCGCTGTCGGTGAGGCAACACCTGCACTCCCGTTCGCTTCACCTCTCTTCTTCGCTTTAGCTTTTTGTTTGCTGTTTGAGGAACCCGAACGCTGAAGCGCTTCTTCGCGCTGCGGAGAAACTGATTTTCGGAGCTCCTGCATTAAAAGACCAATGACATTTGTTATGTGGTACACAAAAAACCTAACCATACTTTCGTGGGACAGAGAAATACTAGCGATGAGAGAGGGTCGCCCTGTTTGACCCCTCGTGTCGGGAAAAGTATCTCCTGCAGTGGTCCATTCACCGAGAGCACTGCCTGAACGTCGGAATGCAGGAGCTGGATCCAGCGGCGAAACCCTGTTCCACATCCCACCCGCTCAAGCACCCGAAACAACTAATCCCAGTTCACTCTATCGTAGGCCTTGGCGAAGTCGAGACAGAGGGCAAAGCCCTGGTCACCGCGACGGCGTATCAGACGCTGTAAATCTTGAATATAACGAACATGATGATGCAGAGATCGCCCCCTTTTTGCTCCGTGTGAATCAAGGCTGGCAGGAAACGTTGAAGCCGACATGCGAGCGTCTTAGAAAGGATCTTGACGTCGACTTGCATGAGCGATATTGGTCGGTAATTTACCGGATCCCGTCGATCACCTTTTTTGTAAAGCAAAGAAACACACGACTTTCGTTGCGATGAAAGCAGGCGTCCGTGCTCCAGCTCGCTCGCAAAACCACTGCCAGAACCTTCCAAAAAGCGTCAGGGGTAAGCATATAGAGGGCGGACCCGAGTCCGCCCAGACCTGGGGCAGACTCACGTCTGAGATGTTTAATCGTTGCCGCCAGTTCGTCTGCGGTAATAGGTTCATCTAAAGCTGCTGCTTGTGCTGCGCCGAGACGACGCACGATGGAATCAAGGAGAAGAACACTTCACCAATGTCTACCTGGTCCCTAGACTCGGCTCCATTAGGTAGTACCACAGCCGGAATAGCCGTCGAACGCAGAACAGAATCAGGAGGCCGAAAAAGGCTGACGTAGAAGTTTCCATTGCACGCGCGTGAAAGTCAAAGCCGCGATTCTGTTGTTGCTCGTGGAGAGCTTCATGAACAGCCTCTGCAGCAGCAACTGCTGCGACCAGCTCATCCGCAGACGCTTCCGAATTACTCGAACTGTGTGTACGTTCCAGGTGAGCGACACTTCGCTGACAGTCAGCTAGGAGGTCAGCGTCTTGAGCCCGTGTAGTGTTCTGAGCGAGCTGCAACTGAGATCGGATACGTCGCTTCCACCCCTCCCAGACCAGCGCTGGGTTTGGTGCTGTGTGGATAGTTGTAGCCAAGCGCTCGATATCTTTTATAATTGAGCTACGCACCGAGTCATTGTCCAACGTAGAGGGTCGTAATCTCCAGTAGCCAGCGGCAGGTCGTTGACGTGACTCTCCAAGCGAGACACGAACAGCGAGATGGTCGCCAGAGCGGGGAGCCTGGTAATACTTGACCGAGTCGAACAAGACAGCAACCCAAGAATCCGAGATGAAAATGTAGTCCAGCCGATTGACTCGAGGCAGCGGCCCCGAAAACAATCGCCGGTGAGGAAACCGTAACCTCCAGGGACCCGTAACTCGAAGAGCGACTAACCATCCAACCAGTTCTCCCCGCGAGGCGTCTGACACGCGAGTTGACCCACGTGAATCAAGGACAGGATCAATTGCAACATTGAGGTCCCCTAACACAACATGATGAGCGTCAGGCTCGAATTGCGTAGGTAAACGCTCGAAAAACCCACACTGCTCTGCTGGCCGGACAGGAGCGTAGACATTGTGGATATACACTGGCTGGCCTTGAACTTCTTGCCGCACTAAGAGGTAACGACCTTCGATTGTGGCAGCGAAGCGGTGTCCGCACCAGGAAGATCGGGGTGAAGTAGTGTCGCCACTGCGAGGCCCTATTGGCACCGGGCTCATGCCATTGCGGTCGCTAATAAATACATTGTGACGACAGGTTGAAGAAACGTGAAATCTGAACTTGATGATGTGCGTCGCGAAACTTGGTCTCTTGAATCGCGACGATGTGATCAATGAATTTCCGGCCGTTGTGCTTGATGCCATTGGTGTTGACGGATAGCAAATCAACGCCGGTCCACGGAAACTTCACTTAAGCGAGGGGAAGCTTCAGAGCTCCTGCCCCCCATACTGGCCCAAGGGAAGAACATGCGATAATTAGAGCCCCACTCTCCTCTGGAAACCCTCATGGAGACGTGCTCAAGCTCCGCCCAGTAATTGGGGGAGTAAAATGCTCGCGGTTGGACACATTCCTGAGCCGGAATATTTTTCGCCAGGCGCTTGCGTGGAGGGGGGCGGAACGGAGGGCTCGCCGGCTCCGGCTGTGTATTGGCTTCCTGGTCTTCAGCTCTCGGCGGTACTGGTACCACCACCGAGCCGCCCGAGCTGTCCACTTCCATCGCCGTACGGTCGTCACGTTCCACCGATACAGGGGCGGGGGAAGACTCGACTGAGCTTTGGCGAACACGCTTGCTCCCGCTTACAGCCGCTGACAGCTTCGTTGAAAGGCGTTTCACAATGGCGCCATCAAGGCCAAACCGCAGTGCATGCGGGGATGGCTTCGATGGGTTGAGAAAGTATTGAACAGCAGGCGCTCCACCTGCTCTCGGAGAGTGAAGAAGTCCGCCGAGCACCACTTGGTCGCACACCTGGCCATCCACTATCAGCGCTTCAGGGCACTAGGAAGAGTTAAAATAGTAGCGCACAATTCCCGACGATATGGAGCCGGTCGGAGAGCGGTACGTGAAGTTGATATACAGCGGCTGGCAGCCGCTAGCGAGAAAACCGCGAAACAAGCTGCAGGCCACTTGGTCGCTTTGGACACCCAGCACATCAATGTAAAAGCATCCGATAGAGGGTTGAGCGAGTCGAACGTAAGCGTCCGCCCCGGATACTGGCACCGCTGACCGGCCAGGAGTTGCTTGGTCTTCTGGGTCTTCAAGTAGAGAACAACGGAGTTGGGAGGCTGTCGATGAGCATGAGCAATGTCGCCGGAATCGATCACGGAGCGGACGACGTCATTGTCCTTCACCGCTACTAGTCCAAGGACCAACAGTATTACGGCCCGGGTGTCGTCGTCTCTGTTTGGTGTGCCTCGCCCGGCCCACGGCGTGTCGGGAATGGCTTCGGGTTGGGCAGCTTTAGCTGCAGCAATAATTTCTGCAGATCGGGGGAGTCTTCGGTGTACAAGCGACGGACAGCAGCTAGGGCTTCGCGACTGGGGAGGAGGCCACGCGTTCGATCCTGAGGTGCTGCCGGCGAGATGCTGGGCTCGGCGCGGCCAGTCACCACCGCTCGGTACGATGGCTGGCGCGGCGGTGGAGATAGTGTTGGCCCCTCGACTTGGACTGGCGGAGACATCGGGCGATGACCCGAACATGACACGGCAGGGTCCATGGGAACGGTGGGTCGCTCTGTGCAGACGCGGCAGGCGCAGTGCGCGTTAAAAGCGCGCTTGGAGTGACCGACGGTTGCTCCGCTGCACCAGCGTCAGCAGCTACCGGTAGGATAGAAGCCCCTGAGGGAGCCCCTGGGGCGCTGGCTGGAGAAGGCATCTCAACGTCGAGGAGAGGGAGTAGGAGGATAGAATCCGGCGCTCAATTCGTGTCGCACTTATGACCGTAAATTGAGAAGTGAAAAGAAATAACGGGCTTCTTTTTGGATACTTGTATGTCCGTATTAACCTCCCGACATTGACGAATGTTGGCGACTTATCTTTGAGCCCAAAACGTCAGAAACCACCTGTAGTGACCACCCTTTCCATTGCACTTCATGCTTTCTGCTAATGATTGCAAACCACATAACACGCGGTTAACGGTTCTTACAGCTTGTAAACTAGCGGCTCTTATCGCTTACCAGACTTACTGTGCCAGATATTTCACTAGGCCTTTCTCGTGTGGGTGCCTCGCAATATGAGCAGCGATTGCGCCAGATATTCTGAAGCGATCCCTGCAACTTGAATAGGGGCACTCTTCTTCCTCCTCTTCCGATGACGAGCCAGACACCTGGGAGCTCAACCCCATATCCAGAAATGCTGCTTGTAGTTGGAATCCTGGTAAAACGGTGCCCCCGTCGAGGTCTCTCCAAGTTTTATCGTCAACGCGTCGAACGAGTCCATCATTTCCTTGGGCATCACGCTCGTACTCGTACATGATTTTGTTCATGGAATCAATGAGCCACCCCAGCTGAACGCCACGAGGGAAATACTCGCGTCGCATCTTGTCGTCAAGAGCCTCGAGCCTTGAATGCGGCCCAGCGAGAGTGTCGATTTCCACCACGCAACAGAACAGTGGGACAAAGCAATTGAATTTGCTGTGGTCAAGTCGATGGGTGTGGTGAGCGGCCCCAAGACCAGAGATCACTTGCTTGCCACGCGCGACGACTTGGTTGGCCGCGCCATTTGTTGCGATAGTCCCTTTGATGTTGTGGCTGCGTGTCGTGGGTATTCCTCGTAGCAATCTGAGAGCCATCGACCTAGGAACTTGATGGATAGCTTGTCTGCGCCCCCGGCGGCCAGTGCCGTGGCGCCTCCGATTCGGATGGAGTGCGAGGAGTAGTTGGATGCTGGAACGCCGATTCTTCGCGCCGTGTTCTTGATTGCCTTGACGACTACTTGAGACGTGAGCGATGCGTACAAGTGCCGGTCCGCTTCGCACTTGAGCAGTTTTCGTGCTTGTTGGATGTGGTGAAGACCTTTGACCGGGCACAACAGCTTGTCGCCCGATACACCCACTGTTCGCCATGCGCCCCGGCCGTATTGGTCGTTCTTGGCCCTCGAGGCCGATGGTGACGGATGTAGCCGCCTTTCGTGCCACGCGCCTGCCGTTGTCGTCGGCGTAGAATGCGTAGCAGGTTTTTAAGCAGAAGAACCGGCGGGTCTTGCCAATTTTGAGGAATTCGGACTGCCGGAGAAGAAAGAAATAGCCGATGACGATGCTCCCCCAGAGCAAGCGCTGTCTTGGTCTTGACAAGTTGAGTGAGCTGTACAACAAGCGAAGGAATGGCGGAGTCAGCGGTTGTTTCTTCCGTCGGGGAGCGGAGAGACGCTTGATGCCTTGAAGTAGTAGTTCGAGCTTCGGGCTTGTTTTGAGTGTTGTGTCTTTGTATCTGCGATGAAACCAGCGGATGCTGGCGAGCTTCAGCTTGATGGTCGAGTATTGGTTTCCCTTGGTGCGAGATCTTCAGTCCCCCACCCAGCAGGATGTAGCAAAGTATCCGAGTCGTTTGGAAGCTGTAGATGCTGTGAGCCATTGAGACCACCCCGTCTTTGCCGCGAATGGGCACCATTGGTGCCAGTGCCGAGTGTCCGTGGTGTTGGTAGAGTTTGCCACGGCGTACTGACGCAGCAACGATCCCAGACGACTGATAGATTGTCGAAAGGCTCTGCCAGATGAGTCTGCGTCCACGAGGATGACAGGTTAGCTCATTGATTAGCAAGAGGGTGGTCAGCAGTCCACACGCGAGATCCGGCGTCCACCATTACGTTGAGTTTGCCGGCGATGTGCGAGGCAGTGAAAACGAGGTTGTACTGAAATTCAGCGAGCGATAAGAGTCGATTGTACATTTGAGCAATCGGATTTCGGCTTGCTTGGCGGTTCGCCCACGTGACTGCACTTGTGTTATTGATGTGAAATTGAACATGCGTGCGTGTTGTTGGGTCCGGTGAAGACCAGTACGGCCCCCAATGCAATGCCGCCAGAACTGCGCTCCGAAGCTCTCGAACGTTGATGGAGGTGTCACGAATGTCTTCTTGCGAGAACGGTTGGCGAATGTAAGTCTGCAATGACGGCTCGAGAATGCACGATCCATCTCCGCTTGCGTCCATGAAAACGTGATACTGCGGTACAGAGGCGTCTGCGAAGTAGATGACTGGGATTGAGTTAAAACGCTGGGGTTGTTGAAGAACGGTGCAAAACCAGCGAAGATCATCGAGGCTGGGTTGCGATAACGAGCAGCGGCCGTACTTGGGGGAGCGGGCGGCCACTTCCTGTAGGCATTGTAAGAAAGCCCGGGCCGGCGGAAAGCAGCTGGCGACGTGGCAGAGACTTTCAATTGCCTCGAGCATTGTGGTGCGTGATGCCTTCCCTACCGCCAGCGGATTGTTGACCCGCATTGACGCTTTTGCGAGTTTGTCCGCCGGAATCGATACTGTGGCAGCCTCGGTATCCCATAAAAGCCCCAAAGCTTTGCACTTTGTCGACCAAGTTGTGAACTTCAGCTCATTGATGGCCGTTGGACCCACGACAGTGGCCATTGCTCGACGAAGAGACAGGTTGGCGTCGATGCATCTTGTTTCTGCGTCGACTTCGATGCACGTGTGGTTATCACACCACACATTTCCGGCGAATTGGCGAGTTAGGCTATTGCCGTGCTCGTAGAGGGCGTTGATGATGGTGCCGGCGAGCGAATAAAACGCTGGTGATCCACACCAGCCGAACCCGCATGCCAGATCGATAACGAGCAGATTGTCGAAAACGAATGCGAACATGTGAACCGAGTCAGCATGTATTGGAATGTGGCGGAACGCGCCGGACACATCCCCGAGCATCATCAATATACATTCTCTGACATGAGATGTACTGAGATGGTGGATACGCCTTGCAATATCCCGAGGCGGGTTGTACGAGATCGATGAGAAGTTGCTCCGGTCAGTGCAGTAGTTCACCGATTGACCGCGGGGGATCGAGTAGTCGTTGATTAATCGAATATCACCGACGCCCGAGCCCGCTTTCGCGATTGCGCCCAGTGGACTAATGAAGAGCTCTGGTCATTGCGCAGCGAGACGGGAGTCGACGATGAGGTATCGCCCTTCGAGTTGTTCAAGGTGTCGCCGGATCTGCGCTGACATGCGGTGGATGCCTGCGTGATTTGGTGGAGGTGTCGACTGTGTAGGAGGTGGCCCTGTCGTCCAGCGCGGGATAACTCCATGTCGGACGATCTGGTTCCATTCCTTGACCGTTGCTGCAATTGCCGGGTCGACCGATGTTGCCACCTCGAAAAGATCCTTGGTGGGTCGCGGGTCGGAGGCAGTTTGGCCACGCAGGTGGCAGACGACCTATGGTAGACTCCAATGGCTTTGTTCCGCTGACTTTGACCAAAACTGGACTTGGTCGCGATCTAGGTTGGCCGACGTGGTGGAGGTTCGAGTCCGAAGTCGTTGGTTCGGTATTTTTCATGCATAGACGCTTGACTCACGGCACGAATTCGATTCAGAGTTGACATAAACGTATTGTGGCGCTCGATTGCTTCGCGATTTGGCGGTGATCTCGGGCTCTCCTTAGCTTGATCACTACGGGGCCGTCATAAATCGCTGAGCTGTGTACCGAGACCTCCCCATCGTTCCAAAATCACCTTGCGCGCTCCTTCTGGGAGTGCTTCGGGGCGAACGTGAGCACTCGAACACTTCGAAAACTGGCAACCAGCCTGCGAAAGATACTTGAGGCAAAGCCGTCGCCCGCCCTCCGCTTTCGGTAGTTGCGAGTATAAGTCGGCTGGGATGCGACTGGCGCCTGGAGTGCGATTGCCGCGATGGCCCTTGTCTCCGTCCGTCACTCGAGATCGCCCAGATGCTGTGACCGGCTTCCATGTTTGGCACGAGTCACGGAGGGCGGCCAGCTTGTCTTCGCTGCGGCAAAACTGTGCTGATATCTTCGTCGCCGCGCCCAGACCCTCGGAGAGGATGGTGTTGCGAAATAGGCTGAATTTGCTGTTGATCCAGAATACGAATAGTCGCGCCATGCTCGGGTCCGGTCGAGTGTGATCGGAATAGTCGATGATGAAGTCTTTAGCGGCTCCGATGAAGTTCATCGTTTCACTGTTGTAGAAGTACTGACCGAACTTGTAAAGTGCTGACAGTGCGCTGATCAGGTCGGCGCAGCTGAAGGCCTTTGGCGGGGTCGGCAAACTGTTCTTTGCCGAGAAGTCCCATAAGTTGACGCCCTTCTCGCTTGTCATGACCTCGTCGTCCCAGCGAACCCGTCGGCAGTGCATGATCGATAGTCAAAGGGCAAATCCAAACGAATGTAAACCTCGTAACACGGCGGGGCTCCCCAGGAAATCCACGTGTGGTGACGGCTGGACCGATTGAAGCAGAGTTTGAGCGACCTTACCTTTGTGTCGGCGGTTGACGATGGCGGCATGCACACGTCGCTCTGTTGGGGATGGATGAAACACGATGCCGCGGCTCGATCTTGCCTGCTCGCCAGGGCTGGACTCGGTGCTATTGTCGGAGCTGTAGTCTTCTTCGTCCATACGCTGACGCTTCGTTAACGGGGCGTTCATGTGCTGCACTTCATGGATGTCGTCTTCTGCTGAGAGGATGGAGTCGCCGCCGTCGTCAGCGTCGTCGTCCCCGTCGGAGCTCGAAGATTCCATCCGTTGCTTCATTGCCTGTTGGCTTACTTTTCGGCGCTTGCCTGGTGCCGAGGTGTTCACCACCGACCGTGCCGGTTGCTCACTGGGCGCTGCTTCTTCCGCGACTGCTACTTCTCTGTCTGTATATAGATCGGCTGGGAGGTTGGCACGGGTGGCGGTTGCGAAGTCAACGATGTGTTGCCGTCGGACTTGGACTAGTCCCAGCGTTGATGGGTTTACCAGCGGGACCAACTCGTTGGGGGAGAACGGCACCGACAGGCCGGCCAGTACTGTCGCTGGTATGCCAGATTTGCGCTTGCGACAACTGCCAAGGAGGGCGTTTTGGTGATGATGGAGCTCCATCGGATCGATTGCCGCAACGTTGGCGCCGTCCCTGGTCGCAGCGCGTAGTTGAGCGGGTCTACCTTGATAACCGACTGCTCGTCTGTCAGAAGGAGGCGTGTGGGTCCGCCGGGACTCACGATGTGTAAGATGGCGTTCGTGTCGGACACTGTGTAGCCTGAGACCACACCGTAAGCCCACTCGTCTACCCCTGCGGCAGTCGTGAGAATGAAAGCGACCGGGTGGGCGATATAGGAACCGGGCCAAAGCTTACGCTCCGGTTCCGGTACCAATTGAAAACCGATGACCTCCGTGGCGACGTCAAATGTCTGTCGTTGTTCGAGTCGGGGCCAGTGATCTTCACTTCAGCCGTGGTGTCGTTGAGGCTGACGACTTCGACGTACTGAAAATCGGTTAGGTGACTCGCGTGGGCCGGTCTGATGAAGGCGAGAGCCCCGACTTGAACAGACGTTGGCATCGTCGATGCGGGAAGAGTGGCTGGTTGGTTTCTTCGCTTTCCACGAGCTGAGTGAAAAATGAAAGTGAGGTCTACGAGTGGTCGAATCCTAAAACGTCCTAGGGTCCTCGTGTGCGCTGCGATGCCGTAAGTTGCGATGCGGAGGACCGTCTTCTGTCCTTATGCTTCCGGAAATAGGAGTATCCTTGCAGAATACTTCCGCTTTCCACCACGAAAGTCGGAGCAAAAGGAGCCCCACCAAGAGTCCACTCAGGTGAATTTGTTGCTTGTCTAGTGTCTGGGCGAGGTGTGTAGGCCACATCGGGGGCCCGGAGCAGCGTGCCGTCGAGAAAATATTTGCCTTGCGCGCTTACTCTTGCACCATGGACACCCCACTTGACCCACTGGATAAGTAAAGTGATAATTTGCGGTCTGATCACGGAGCGACACGGGAGGTCCATCTTGAATGGAATAAAGCGGCCATCATCGACAAAAGGTCACCAAGAACGGGATGCACCAACGCACCGTTCGTCATCACGTGACGGTTTAGCTGCTCGAGAGACACACTGGGGTAGTCCTCGACGCAGCACAGCGTCTCCTTCGCCTGCAGATCTCGTACGAGCCGTAGCAACCCGTGCTGGGTGTCTATCATCTTGGCCACCAGTCTCTCTCTCACTTTTTTTAACCCCTCTAGCCCCGCTTCCTGTATTCTACAGGGTAAGCACTCTTCTTATCCTGTACAATACAGTATAAGAAATCACACATACATTAATCAAATGAAACTATACAAATACCAAGTGATTTGAACCGATCACAAGATAAGCAAGGTTGTTGCTAAGCTCGGGAGGTATAATTCGTGGCCCAGGTTTTTCGAGATTTAGGGAATTTGCGTGCGCCCAGCATTCGCGCCATTCGCGAATCGGACGGACGGAAGGCAAGTGAAGGCAGGCACGTGATGGGTAAACGCAAGCACATCAAGCCTCTCACATGGTCCAAGCTGTGGACAAAACTAAAAAAGCTTGGGTGGCGGTTTGAGCAGCCGAAGGGCCTCTCCAACGAAAGTCGCTTCTACACACGTGCAGGATGGGAGAAACGACCGAATGCAACACACCTTGTCGACTATTTTGACGGAGTAGATGAAGTCTGGAAGCATCTACCAGTCCACGGTACGCGGCAAGTTGCAATAATAGCTTTGTTGGTTTTCTAACGCTACGACAGTTCTGTACGATGACCCTCCTACCAAACGCCAAGCTACGGAAGCCACTGAACGCGAAGCACATACACCCGCGGGGGCGGCAGCGGCGACCGCCGTGGCGTCCGACTCGCCGGTCGAGGCTTCGCCGACACGCCAATCCGCATCTCCACCTCTGAACCCGATCTCGAGACCTGCCCCAAAGTCCCCATCCAAGTCGCCGACGAAGACGCCCACCACGGTGCCTGCCAAGTCGCCGTCCCAGTCGTCCGCGTCACCAGCGAAGTCGCTCACAAAGGCGCCGGCGAAGTCTCCCGCCAAGGCAGCCGCCAAAGCACCAGCCCCGTCATCAGCAGAGACAACCCCAGCAAAGTCGCTCGCCAAGTCACCAGCAAACGCGACCCCAAAGAAGCGTGTCGGCACGATCCAGACCAATCGACGAGGATACTGCAAGATGATTCCTTACAAACAAGCGAAGCGGCCAAAGTCCATGGCACGTGGGTCTTACCGAATTGCGCATTCGAAAACAGAGCCCGGTATGTTAGCCGTGTCCTGGAGGGATAATCGACCGGTGCACTTCATCGCCACGGGCTGCGACACACGACCGACGAGATTGTCAAGGCGTGCAGGTGCTGAAGTTGTCGACGTTCCAGCGCCACAGCTTGTGAAGGACTACCAAGACGGGGTGGGCGGCCCGGACTTGCACGATCAACTACGTCATCAGCGATATTCAATTCAGGTCGGTTTTGCTTTAGCTTTCTTATCCTTTATTCCCCCAGATTGGGTTGCTGACAAACGATTGTTATTCTGTATTCTACAGCAAACCATGAAAATGAGGAAGTATTATCTCACGATTTTCTCGGGCTGGTTGATATGGCGTTGGTCAACGCTTACATCATTTATCGACGTGTCCAAGCTGAGCGTGCACCCGGCAAAGCTCCACCGACTCATGCCGAGTTCATAAGATTGATGCAGACGGCGCTGCTGGGAGTGGGGGCCGCGGACTTCGAAGGTGACTTGTTTGTCCGAGCGTTGGTAGACACGCCAGTATCGCCGTCGTCAACACCGCGCTACACGCTACCAAGACGTCACACGACAAAGCAAGTGGACATCTACCGCGTCACGCGGGGGAAGAACGGCAAAGAGACGAGGAAGCGTCGCCAGTATGGTTGCAAGGTGTGTTCGCTCCTTCGGCCGGGGATGAATCCGTGGGAGACGACCTTCTACTGCGTTGAGTGTACCGAGGCAAGGTCAAAAGGGGCTGCGGACGACGCTGCATGCGCCAAAGGAAATATTTACCTCTGCCAAAAGGTTCGCCAGCACAATCCAAGCGCGCCGACAAACTCTGCGACCTGCAGCCAAATTTGGCATGACCTTTGGCGTGGTGGTGACAACATTCCTCCAGGACTCAAGACGATCAGACTGCGCACTGCAAAAGTACGTGACGTACAACAAGCCACCGGAGCTGCCGACGACTCCAGTGATAGCGACGGCAGCTCAAGCTCAAGTGTCAGGTCGTGTAGTGCACGAAGTTCGAACAGTGTTCCCAGTGATGCAGGCAATAATCAAGAATGAATGCAGATAGTTTGTGAGTGATGGTATTTGTTGAATTTTGACATTTTTCTCTACAAACCTATAATTTGGATACGGAGAATACAGGGTATCACAAGACAGCTACCAATGATACCCTGTACAGCACACTGTAGAAAACAAGAATTGATTGTGAGTTTCACCACTCCTTGCAAAAACTCCGCAATAGTAAAATCAAGTCATTTCCTTATCCTGTAGAATACAGGGTAACTTTTGCCCAAAATCGCGGGGCTAGAGGGGTTAATTGTGGCACCCGTGAAGCCAGGCAGCAAGAGACTACTACGGGTAGACAAGATTGATCATTTAGGATTGATACATCAATCATTCATGTACATTTTTCTCGTTGCATTTTTCCACCGCTATCCAGCAGCAGGGTTGCCGAAGATTATGGACACGAGCGACATCGATGTGCCACCCGATGGTGTACTACCTGGGGAGTTGTTGCCTCGGGGTAATGCCAGCTACCCAGTGTGCCGCTCCTAAAAAGATACGAAGGCGGGGACTTCATTAACGAGCGCGAGTGTTACAAGGAGTACTGTGGGATTATTGAGACGTAGCTGGCGGTGGAGCCAAACAGCAAGTGCATACCTAAAGGCATGTGGAGGGCCTACGATACGTGCGTGCCCGTGACAGGATCGCCGGGTGAGGAAGCCAGCTGAGCTATAATAGAGGGGGAATCGTAGTAACGCAGGTACTGGCAGCGACGTTTACTGCAGGCATTGGCATCTCCGTCTTCTATGCGTTTTGCTTCGAGCACTTCCAGCGACGTCCTGACTGGGTCGTCATCACGCAGGCGTTCCTCGATAAGCAGTCGCAGTTGGCTGCTATCTGTCGGGACGGCAAAACCAGATTTATCTACCTGGAGGGCATCAAAGCAGAAGTCGCGGCAGCCGTGAAAGAAGCAGGCCGTTCCCCAAAGACCGTGCTCTTCTTGTGTGAAGGAGAACCGGGCATAGTTCGGCGGGATGGCCACACGGTGGTGTTTGTGACCCGCAGCGACGCCTGGATGCGGCAGCACGCGGAAGTTCAGTACACCTACTGCCCCCGTGGACACTTAGCGAGCTTCGGGAGGCAGTGCTCGTGTTTGGGTACGATATTAGCGACGATGTCATCGGCGAGCGCTTTGGGCATTTTGGGGGTGCCGCTCGGCCGTGTCTGTCGCTTGATCCAGAGATTGCTGGGTTCTACCTTGACGGGATCACTGACTCGATCATGAAGATCCGTGACCGAACGGATCTCCTAGACCTGCTATCCGGAAAGGATGATAGCGTGATGCTGTTGGTCCCTCGAGCGGATAACAGAACATGCGCAGAAAGACAATTCGCATCTGAGTTCGTGGTGGAGAAGCTAGCGGAACGTCTGCAGTTGCTGGCGAAATGGAAGAAAAAAGCTGCGGTGACGTTGCTTTGTGGGCTTCCTGAAGGCGCATCGTTGATTCGTTATATGTTCGAGATCAGCGTTGACGACAAAGATCATGAATGTACTGACTGAATACGGCTTGTCAGGAGCTATTTCGCAACCTCTCCAGCACGACGCACATGTCGAAGGCGCAGGAAAATATATCAGTCGCGGCTCGCGAAAGTATTAATCTCGAGGAGCAAGAAAATCGTTATCGTGAGGACGGTGAGGACCTGAGTGAAAAGCTTTGGTGGCCGTATTTCCAAGACGAGACACCACACAAGTTTTCTTTTTATACGCATGAATCAATTATACAAACAATCCCAACAACATCGATTCGCTTTCGTACACACTCATGCCGCTACGGCATCGCGAAAGGCTCCACGCACCGAAATCTCGAATTCACCAACGTGCACGGTGCTTGTGGAAGCCTTCGAGCCTAGATCATCCAACTGGACTCCAACACCTTCTGCGACCCCCATCACACCCTCACGAACTTTCTTCACCTCCAGTTTGTTGGCGCCACCGTACAGAACTCGTCTGCCTTTTCCGTCAAGACATACCACGTCACTCAGTTCCAGAATGCCCTCCACCGCTGCTTTGAGACCATCGAACTGTTCGTTCGTCGTCTCGACTCTGAGCGTCAAGTCGAAGTAGACTGGCCAGTCCGTCAAGTTTTTTCAGAAGCTTAGCGCTCCCCAGAGCGGCGTCCAAGTACCATTCCAACTCCCGCAACGCTTTGGGGCTCGACGCACGCCCCATACCCACACTATCGCGCGCTGCAGAGGACATCTGCACGAGCGCTCGAAACGTCGACGGATCTCGTTTGTCGAAGGGCGTCTTCAGCAGTCGCTTCTCCAACACATCTAGAATTTCACGAGCTTGAGGTTTCCTGTCCATGGAATTCAGGAGTTGTACCGTGCCCACGACAAACCAAGTAAATTTCGGCGTCGTGTCACAAAGGTTCAGGATAGCAGTATCTGCGGTGGAGGAGTGGCTCATCCGATGAAACTTCTGCATCATGTGAATGGTCTTGAAAGACTTTGTAGCTACGGAGGCCCGCAGCCCTGAAAAGGTTGATGCCAACCGGGTGGGGTGAGACAGATCGATTCCATCAACTCTGATTTACGTCAACGTTCCACCTAATAATGTGGCATTCGGTAAAACCAACGTCCCATACTGGCTTTCAATCGAATCATACGGTGAAATATATCGTGAAATCATGTTTGATGCAGATAGGATCCACACGGCTTCAGGATTTTATCACGAAAACCCCGCATCACATGATCAAGAGAGAGGGTAGATACATGTATGGATCTCCTCAACGCGGTCGCGAGAAACGCACCGACGGGAGTGGTTACCGTATCTGATGCAGACCATATTGTGATGGCTCTGGCTCAGAACTCAAGCTTGGTTTGGTTCTGGAAATTCTAGATGATTTCAAAAATGCTATCGCCCGCTATGGGGGGGGGGTAACTCAAATGGTGCTACGTTGGTCCTAACTGACTTTTGTCAGTCTGGTCCTGCTTACCTGCCAAAAGAGAAGGTGCTCCATGTATCTTTTGGCGAATCGCTCAAGACTGCAACGATTTTTAGTATCTCGTCGATTGAACAATTACACTGAGGTTCTCCATCTGAACTGCTTCGTGAATTGGGTCCACGAAGGCATGTTCTAAAACATAGAAGGGTGGTACCATGTTAGACGTTTGCGGACATACAGAGACTTACCTGTGGAATCAGCTCGTAGCGCAACTGGTAACGGCCCTTTGACATTATTTTCCGAAGTATATATTTTTATGATCGTTGTGGAGGTGATAATAAAGTAGCCAACACCCCATACTGCATGCAGGCTTTTTATCATGTATTATGATTCTGTTGGATTTGCTCGAGTTTCGGAGAGCTGTGTTTTGATAAGAACTCGAAAAGAATTTACCGTCGATATAGTATTTACATGGTTTGCACTCCTAAACTTGCGAGCAATGTAGCTATATCAATTATTATAACGAATACATTGAAGTTAAATTACTCTCCGAGCCTCTGGCACGTAAAGTTAACCACGTAAAAGTGCACAATAACCTAAACTTCATGGTCGACGTTGGTGTTGTGGCTTGCGCGCGCTAAAGAGGCGGAGCGGCTTCCCGTTTGCAATTCTTTATGTTGTGTAACCTTATCGCTGTAGCAACATCGTGAGTAGATTATTATACCGTACTTGTATATTAATTATTCATACCTTGTTGATTTGAATCCACCTGGGATGGAACTCGTGATCTGTCCGGCGCTATGCTGAACCATAGATTCCGTACCAGTATACAGACTAGTTAGCTCAATGTATGTGTACTGTGCACGTAGTGTCAATGCCACCCTGACAAGAGTCCTGGCGTGCGGATTCTTGCATGTAGGCTACCATCTGTGCCCCACGTTGGCTTAGAATTGCATCTCAAGTGAAACTACACCGTGGGTGTGCAGTAGTACCCCGTGGGGGTGTTTAGTCTAAAATACCTTTCCGCATTTTGAAGGGCGCCACGTAACGTGTCCACTGCTTCATCTCAGCCCGTTGAGATAACAGTTGCGATCTGTTGCGTGATTCGGAGCTTGCTATCTAAACTCACTGTGTCGACTGGGCATTTCACTTCGCAAATCGCAGCCCGATACACACACACCAATACGGGAAGGTACTAGGCGTCTGGAGTGCGTTCTACTCGTGGTTTTAGCCATGTTCCTAGCAGAATGCGACGCAGTGACGACCGGCAACCAGGCGACGGCGAAGTTGACTCCAAGTACGAGCAATAGGGATCCCCGGTGCTCAGAGGCTCCTGCGAAGCAACAGCGCCAACGTTAACGCCGCCGATGCCGAGGACGAGGAAAGAGTGGGGGCTCTAAGCAAGATCAGGAACTATCTTGCAAGGAACGACTTCGATATGTCCAAGCTGTCCAAGATGATGGATAGCGACGCGTGTAAGATAAAAATGTTCAAGAAGTGGGACATAGCGTCGCTCAGATTCGAGATAAGATGAACCTCGACAACCCCCCCCAGTTCAAGAAGCTGTTGCTGGACTACCTGAACAACTACCAGCGCAAAGCGACCAAAGTGAAGAAAGTGAAGCCTGCAATCCGGGTGCGTCCTGACGTAAAGCGCGTGACCTTCAGCGATGCCGTGAGTGTTCAAAGGTTTAATCCTTAGAACCACACGCTGCGCGTCGGTAATGTATTTGAGTGTACCCAGCGTCAATGGGGGGCACTTCGTATGATTACGACTGCACCTGTTATAGCACCTTTGAAGGTGCCCCCGCAACCTTAAAAACGGCTTGGCAATCTTAAAGCTACATGTTGCTTCAGCAACCGGTAATTTATCGAGGAGAAAATAAAGGTTGCTGCTAAGGATTTCCTGATCAAAACCAGTTCGCCAGTTAAAAGCATAGTAACCAAACCGTAGCTGTTTCAAGCAATATCCACTAAGCCGTGCTAAAGCACGGAGAAGCTCTGGATTTTATCATGTAGTTTTGATTCTAGGTTTGATTCTAAGTTAATTTATCTTAAATGTGCCTACCAGTTCTACCCGAGGTTCTTTGGTTAGAGCGAAGTATCATTAAATTTCAGCAGTTAGTGCTTCTGTCTTTATTCGGGTTTGCTACCAAGTTCCGAAACCATGAAAGCATGCACTGCCAACTATCTCAAGCCCTCACGCGAGCATGTACTGGTCACTCGCTATGCCTTAGCTATCTTGCAATAATATGCAGCCAACGTCAAGGCTTGAATGCGGCGGTAACGGTACGTATGCACGTGCAGAATGGTTGAAACGAGACCAGCATCGTTTGAAGACCCACATCTTTAAATTGAAGTCGTGGGTGTTCGTGGGTGTCCTTCCATGACTTCGACACCGATGTAGCATCGTTGAACATACATGTACTGCAAACACAACTGCAGTTATGTCTGGAGTCATGGTCGAGCGACATCCGATCGATCGTGTCACGCGAATGTCGACCCTAAAAGACTCAAGCAACACGCCGCTGGATAATATATTATCCAAGCGTTTATAAAGTTAACGGGTACGTTCCGATACGTTAATGATTCGTTCGTTTATAACCGATAGCGGATCATGCATTTTTATAGTGATTTGCACCTCCAGTCGTATCGCCCTAACAACTCTGGATAAAATCCAGAGAACACCATAGATTAGGCTCCAGCTATATAAGCAACGCTTTATTATCTTTAAAAAAATCCGTGCCAATGAAGTAATCGCAATACATTAAAAAAAACACGCACACGCAGTATAGGGCACTGCCTACTATCTATCATCAATCCCTCAACAATTCGAGTTTCCTCCACCATCTCCTATCCCGGCGGCAGTCCTCTCTCTTAATAAAAACTAAACCCTTCCTAAAACTTTACCGAAATGACTCATTACGAGCTTCCAACTTCAACTTGGTGTGACCCACCCTCTCAATCGGTCGCACGATCGCTCCTCCTACACCCGATTGCTTGTCAAGACACCCGTCACTTCATCAGTTATTCCGCAATTTCCCTTCAACCCCTCAAGCCCTAGGCTCAGCCTCTCTCGCTCTCTCGATGCCCTTCCCGGCCAGCAAGTACTCGCGCTACAAGCGCGCCACCGCCTTCTCCCTCGACTGGCTGCTGCGAGCTCGTGGGCGCGGCCACAGCTCCGGCCAGCGCCTGCGCCTCAGCACGCTGAACGTCGTCGTGCAGGAGATCGCCGCCAACATCTCGTCGCTCACGCCCAAGCTGCTGCAAGAGCTGCCCAAGGCGCTGGCGGCCTGCCAATGCGCCATCACGCTGCGCGAACACGTCGCCACCTTCTTCGCCGAGGACGACGAGGGCCAGCGCAGCCACCAGCACTTCCTGCAGCTGCTCAAGGGCTGGCACCAGACGCTCATGCGGGCGGACGCGCAGCCTGAGGACGAGGACGCGCTGCTGGAGCTTGAGAGCACCAAGCTGGCCATGGAGGAGGAGAGCGGCAAGTTCGAGAATTACTAGCAAGTTCTGCAGGTGGACGAGGACTACTTCCCCGACGAAGGGACTCTGGTCGTCGAGCCGGACGCCCCCAAGGCCGTGAAAGTCGACAGACAGCGCGTGTTTGAAGAGACTTCGCCGAAGACCTCAAGCTGGAGATGGTGTATTTCTTTATGGAGTTGGATGAGTTGATGGAGGGGGTCAGGAAGGTCTTCGCGGAGGTCAAGACCGAGAAAAGATCGCTGGTGGAGGCCACGGTGGTGGCCACTCTGGCGATTGACATCGCCTCGGCACTGACAGCTCAAGTGCAGCTGAAGTACCCGACACCCCGCACGGCCGAGCAAATGTTTAACATTGTGCGGTTCTCAGCGCCTGAGAAGTTCCGGCTGTGGCTGCAGGGCGTCCACCTCAAGTACCTGGACGACCTCAAAGCCAACGCCATGAACGGGAGCTCCATCCCCCCTCCAGCTCCGGGTATGTTTCTTGCGGACTTCATGGTCACCGGGAGCACCTTGAACAGCTTTACGACGGTGATCCCGACCGACCCCAAGATCAACATTACCTTACAGGAAGGAGCCTTCGGGGAGATCTACGGAGAGGACGCCGCAGTACGTGCTCAGTCTCCCGAACAACAGCAACATCAACCTGTTTCTCATGCAGCAACTCGAGTTATTGTACAACACACTCGTCGACTTGCGCGTTGCCGGGTACAAGCCGTTCCGACCCATGGAGGCCTTCCTGGTACTGATGGACAAGTACTTCACGACGCGCGTGATCACGGTTCCAGTAGTGTTTGCGTGCATCTGCTGGGTCAAGTCGGTGGGCTGTCTCCAAGGGCAAAGGGGTCTCGGTCGCAATACGAGCATTGCGATCCGACACTCCAAGCCGTTATTGGACAGCGTCGAGGCTACCCAGGCGAAGAAAGCTGTACTGGAGATCGCCAATGTTTTGCTGGAGAAATGCTGGGCGAAGACCAAGCAAGACGAGCAGTTCCACCACTTGGCCCGCGCCAACCCGCTGTACGCAGGCCATACGCTGCTGAATCACCATTTGGAGTATATGCAGATGTCAAGCGCGATCCTGCTTTCAACTGGCAGATTCCGAGCGTTTGGTCACTTGTACAATGCGCTGGTGAAGGAACGGTATCTCGAGCGTATCCCGTTCTTCGACGACATACTGGATATCTATGACGAAGTCATGTTCACGCCATCTCGGGACTCTGCGAAGCCCAGCATGTACTATCGTACGTACCTCATGAGTGATCAAGTGAGAGCGAGCGCACTGGATGCGATATACAGCGGCAAGGCGTTGCTACGAGGAAGAGAAGGGTACAGAAAGCGGAAAGAAAGCATCGCTGGTAGCGGCATCCTTAGCGACATGTCCAAGATATACCGCTTGATGATAGAGGACGACAAGTCCTTCCTCAAGCACTCGTCATGGGCGAGCATGCTGGATCACGCCGCGCAAACTTGCTCCGAGGAGATGTTCCAGACACGGATCTTGTCACGCGACCTGTTGAAGCTGAGTAACAGCCTCACGGACGTGTTCAACGAGATGTGCGATGCGTTGGACCAACGTGATTGCTACGAAGAAATCATTGCAGCCCCGAGATCCGGTGAGACCCGCGAACAGCGCCTGAACCACGCTCTGGAGGATCCGTGATGAAGTTTACGATGCCGTTCTTCGACGCGCTGCGCCCGAATGGAACTATCGACATGAGTCAGATTCCCGGCGAGTTTCCGCCTAATGCAACGATGAATCCTTTCGTTGTGAGGGGGCTGTGCCAGAGCGTGGCAGCTGTGATCAAGGCCCGATACGCCACACCCCCGTTGATCTGCAATGAGAAGTTCTTCACGTTCCCTGCCCGTCCAGATTTCGTGAGCCAAGAGTATGGAACTGCACCGATATCGGAGAGTACTATGGGCCCCTGTCATCGAGAGAAGTTTGCCATTTTGATGGCGAAGATGAGAGACACCAAGGGGGCGCTACCTGACAACTTCCTACGCTACATGAAGCAGGCGATCAAAGAGGATCCATCACTACTCAGGGCCGGCGTGAAGAGTGGCGAGCTGCGCACGCTGTTTCATCAGGCAGCTGCTGGACCGGCTCACAACGCAGAATTGGTGGAGTGGATGATTTAAATGGGGGCACTCAAGCTTCAGCCGACATTGCACTGCCGGAGGGGGGCTGAGAAACCTCGATTAGTAGATGCCGATGTGGAGTTGCCGAACGCCATGACACTGCACTGTGCTGCGGCCGCGGGATATGACGACATCGTCCGGATTATTCTCGAGGCTGATCACAAGTATGATCTGAACACGCTGACGTTCGACACCAAAGAGACCCTAGCGCACCTGGCTGTCAAGAATGGGCATGAAAACGTGTTGAACGTCCTTCGGCAGTTTGGCGCGGATCTCCGTGTTCGAGACGGCGCAGGAAGGCGTGTGTGTGACGTCACATCGGATCCGAACTGGGCGCGGAAACTCGCGAAAGACGCCTCAGGTTACTTTGACGATAGTACGGATGGAGATAAGAGGCGCAACGCTCTATTACATCGCCAATCCAAGCAGCCAGCGAGGCCTCTCAATGTGGAGTCCGACCTGGGCGCGAAGGAGCGTCAGAAGGAGTGTGAAAAGGCCGTAGGGACCGGATCCACTGGAAAGAAGACCAAGTCGAAGAAGAAGCAGAAGCAGAAGAAGAAAAAGAAGGGCAAGAAGACCAAGAAGAAAGACGAAAGTGACATTGGAGATGCCACGAAAGAGTCGATCATCGCTGCCGCGGCTACCGCGACTATGGATCCAGGTGCAGGGGAAACATCGCTATTTCTGAAGCATTTGTTGAAGATGGCTGGCTCGGACATCAACCAAGACGCTGATCCAGAAGCTGTGCCGCAGCTCGAGAGTATGCTCAACAGTATGGTTGTGGCGATGTTTTCTCGTTTGAGGGACCCGACGATTCCGGCAAGTGAAAAAGTCGGCGACGTGGAGCATGCCTCCTCATTTGCTGTGGCATTAATGGGTTTCGTATCCTCGTACTCAAATGTGGAATGCGTTGGCAGCGGGGGCAAACTTCGAATGTCCGTTTTCGTCCATGCCCGCAGGCTATTTTCCTGTTGCAGAAGTTCTGCCGCGTTGATCACGCTGCTGTCACGGCTCCTGAGCTTGATCCTGTGCGTGTCCTGTGGGATATAACTCCAGAATTCAGCAAGTTTGTCCTGCGCACCACTCAGATAGGCGCCTCCATCGACAGGAAGCCTCAAGCGCGCGAGATTCTGGATTTGCTGGAGAAGCGCCTGCTGAAGGTGCCATTTGAAGAGCGAGAGCCGATGGGCTATCGAGGCATCGTACGGAAGTACTCAACTGCTCGTGATGGCATAGGCCTCGGACAAGCATCCAGCCCCGCCAGCTTTCGCGCTTTGGAGTGGTACATTAGCACTCATGTGGATGATCCCAAGATTGAGGCTGCAGTCGACAGACTCAACGGGCATCCATTTTACTTCGACTTGGTGACGACGTCAAGTCCAGCCTTCGAGAAGCTCAAGCTTGCGGTTACTGCTGTTCTAAATGGTGTCGTGTGCTTCGGTGGCAACGTGAAACATCTTGTTTATGGTGCTTCCAGCCGAGACGAAGTCGGGCGCGTTCGCAAGCTGGTGCTTCAGGCGGCTGGCAAGGCAGGCGTTGTGTTTTCGGATCGAAGGTGACTACTTTTCGCACGTACGAGCCGACTGAAGGTCCCGACTGGAAACTATCTGGGTATTTCGTAGAGCCAATGGACAAGCTCTTCAAGTCTCGCGATATCACCGTCTTGACAGTATTTGCGTGCATTTGCTGGTTAAAATCCGTCGCTGCGTTGCAAGGAGATGAAGGACTCTGTCGTAATACGAAGTTAACACTGAAACACGCGGCAGACCTCACGACTAAAATTTGATGTGACCGTGGCTAAGGGAGCCGTACAAGCTGTTGACAAGAAGCTTCACTGTTTTTACCAGTACTATGCTACGGTCATCCGAAGGTCGAGTCAGGATTCCCATCTAGCACACACGAACCCGATAGTGGCGGGGCTGATGATGCTGGATCGCCATTTTGAGTACCTGGATTTGGCGAGCGAACTGATTGTGGTGACGTCGAAGTTGCATTTCTTCGGGCATCTATACAATGCGTTGGTGGTCGAAGGGTTTCTCCCGCGGTTGCCGTTTGTGGAGGAAATATTGAATATTTACGAAAAAATGATTTTCACCCCTTCCCGAGCTGCGGCTACGCGTGGTGCTTACTACCGCACGTACTTGCTGAGTTCATCCTTGAAAGCTACTGCACTAGACGCAGCACTTCGAGACGATCGTACGAACAATGGGTCTGTCAAGACGAAGCGAAGACCCGTGTTCTTTCTGAAGGATGTATCTAAGATTTTCCGGCTGATGACTAAAGGCGATACGTCGTTTTTACGGGCTGGGACGTCGAAAGCTTTGCTGACTATGGCCACCCACATTTGCACGGAAGAATTGTTCAAGACTCGGGTATTGTCTCGGGACATGCTGATACTTCACAATGACCTTACGGACATTTTCTCCGAAATGTGCAACGTTTTGGGCGAAATTGAGACGCGGAGTGTGAACGACGGGCAGTTCGTGATGTTAACTGTGATTCGAGTGTTAGATGCGATGCAGTCGAATGGTGAAGCGGTTATGAGTGCAGTACCTGGTGGTAATTCGAATCCGTGGTTGGGTGACAGGGTGGATGGTGGGCGCTTTCGAGCAATTTGTACGGAACTGGCGGAAGTGATCAAGTCAAAGTTTGCGATCGCCCCAGCGGACCTCGAACGAAGATACTGCGTGCTCTCATCTTTCTTTGATATCGAGAAGGCGGATGAGGGAGCTAGTAGCAAAATGCATACTGCCACTCCAGTGGCTGGTCAAGCTGAGCAAGTCGAGCGGGCCACGGTAGAAAGCCAAGCTCGAACATCGCAACAAATGCAGGAAAGAGGACGAAAAAGTGCAAAAAGAAAAACAGAAAGAGCAAGAAGGGCAAGGCGAAGGGGGGACAACCGACTATAACGCCTAAAGCAGCAGCAGGTGATGACGAGCATGCAGAAAAATCAGAAATACTGAAACAGCTACTTGCAGCACTATGCGCGGAGATTTCAGCAAATGACGAGCAAATGGGCGTTTCTGTGATGGAGGACTCTTTGCGACGAATTGCGGCGGCTGTGTTTACTCGTTTGAGATATACAAGCATCCCGGTACACTGCAAGGCCGAGGACGCGCATCACGCTAGCAAATTAATGGAGAGATTGCAGGGTCTAGTTGCGGACTTTTCAGCTCCTGACCAGATCACCGGCTCGTCTACTCGCATGCGAAACCTGCTCTTCTCGGAAGCTTCGCGCGTCATTTACTTGATGCAGAGGTTTCATCGAACGGACCACCCCGCTGTCACGGTTCCCGCCCTCACTCCTGTCCGTGAGCTTTGTGACACTAGTCCAAGCCTCACTAACTTTGTGGTGAATACCGCTCGAATTGACGTCTCGGTCAACAAAAAGTCACAAGCTCAAGATCTTTTGGAGTTGTTGGAAAAGCGATTATTCGTGCTGAAGCGGCTCCACAAAGTGATCCTCTTGGATTTTCGAGTACTAGTGCAAACTTACTCGAAAGCACGCGAGGATATGGGACTTGGGAAAACGTCGAGTCCGGATACTTTACGTGCTTTGGAGTGGTTTTTGACAGATATGAGCGACGATTACGAGCTGCAGAAGACTATGGACGAAATGGACGGGCAACTCTTCTACTTTGACCTGGTGACTACCGGAGCCCAAGACGCCACCGAACTCGAGGATATGCTAGGCCCTATACCTGGTTTTGTGTGCTACGGAGAGCGTATCAAGCATGTCGTATTCGGCGGACCCAGAGACGAGGTGACCATAGGCCGGAAGGTGGTTGTTGCGTTAGCCGAGAACATCGGCGTCCAGTTCTCCGAGCGCAACTCGTTGTATTGTGCAAACTCTCTTCGGGTTGGCGAGTCCGTGTTCTCGGCAGATGGGGTGGTTCGGGACACTACGTCGAGATGAAGCGTCGGGGTAAGATGAAACTCTGGTTACCGACGAGGATCGGTGATAAAGTTTACAGGAGTGTGTCCGTATTGGCCAAAAGTTTCAAATTAGCGTTATCACGAATGACCGCCAACTTCAGCATACTAGTGAAATTGCACGACTCGTTTGAAATTACGAATAAATGGAATTTCGAAACGAAAACACGCAAATATGAGCTCCACGACACATCAAACCGTTGCTTCTCAAAGCATGTCTTCATCGCCGCCACCATGCTCCACCCTCACCACCGTAGTGTTCATCAGCATCGCCAGGGCGTTGTTGACCGCAGCAGGGCTGTCCGGCCCGTTGCTGAACAGGGATTAGATAAAGTCCTCGGCCTGTTGCCTCGCGATCTGCTGCGCAACTCTTTCAGGAATCCCACCTGCAAGTTGGGGTGTGTCTGGCACGGGGTAGTGCAGCTTCAACCAGTTTTGGATCTGGACATCGCTTGGCGTCAATTCCGTGATAGGCAGACGGGCGCTTCGCACGAAGTCGGGCGTGAAGGCTTCCGGCTGGTGCACATGTAGGAACAGCAGCACCTCGAACTTGTTCTTGGAGAGAAGAAGCGGGTTGAAGCTCGCAGGGTTAAGCTCGGGAAATCGCCGCATCAGCCAAGATGCCACATTCAAGTGACCGTTGCTTACTGCTCGCTCGATTCCCTGGACGGTGCAACCTTCCGATCGGTTTAAAAACAGCCACTCCAGCGTCTTCATGTTTCCCCCAGCAGCAGCAAGGTCCATCGCGGCCGTCGTACACCCAGCCGCTGTGTTGGCATGGAGCCACTGCACGATCTTGAGCTGGCCGCGCTTCGCAGCAAAGTCCATCGCGTTGGAGCTGCAGACTTCACTCCGATTGGCATGCAACCACTTCACCACGTCCAGATATCCGTTGGCTGCAGCCTCATCCATAGCAGCAGTGGTGCCTCCCTCCGTGCGGTTCACGTGCAGCCACTGCACCGCTGCCAGCTTGCCGTTTGCGGCCGCATCGTCCATGGGGTCCGTCGGAGCCCACGAGTCACGATACCGACATCGTTTCGGTATGATCTTCCGATGGCGATCTGAGTCGTACACAGTTACTCCAGTGCTGCCGTTGGCGTCTTCCGCTTCAACCAGTGGCGGAGGAGAAGCAGGAGTAAATAGTCCGGGAATTTCCGACGGCTCGACACTCTGGAACAGCGGCAACATGTCGATACGTCCACGCGTTGCAGCTTCGTCCATGAAGCAATACTCCGGGATCTTGCTCAGCCGCGGGTAGCGCTCCTGGAGCCTCCAGCTGTCCGTTGCTGATGGCACTGACCATCGCCTGCTCGAACGGGCCGCCAGCCCCTTCGTCGTGCAGATACTGCATTGCCTTGATGTTGCCCTTGGCAGCAGGGAAGCACATGAGACTCGAGAGCTCTCTGCTGCGGCCCATCTCGTTGATGGTTTGCTGTCCTGTTGGGTGATCCACCAGGAACTTGATTACATCCAAATTGCCGTGGCGGAACGCCTCACTCAGTGTGTAGCGCCACTGGCCGACCAAGTCGAGATGCTGCGGGGGCGGATCGTGCTGGCCGGCGATGCGGCGGATGAGGTCTAGGCGGTCGGTGCCGGCTAGAGCATGAATGGCGGCGCCGGCGCCAGCCCAGTCCCGCTGGAAGTAGCCGCAGTCCAGCTTCCACTCGATCATGGCAGGCGTAGCGCAGAAGTCGGCGTAGTCCAGAACGCACCTGCCTTTGGGTAGCAGGGACGCGCAGAATTCCAAGTCTCCGGCGTGCATGGCAGCCTTGATCATCCATTCGCGCACCTGGTCCGTCATGGTACCGAGTGGCGCGTGCTGGTGTAACCAGTGAGCCGTTTCGAGCTGCTTGACCTGCAGCGCGTCTTGGACAACTGTGGGGTACCATTCAACCTTGACACCTGGACTTGTGTTGGCCAGGAACTGCAGCAGGGCCAAGTCGCCCTTGTGCACAGCCTGGGACACGACGTCCGAGGGCACAACGGGGTCTTGAAAGTGGTCAAACAGCCACTGCAGCAACTCCGTGTCACTGCGCTCCACAGCGACATGAGCGACCTCTGCGAACTGCCAGCGGCTGTAAAACTCGTCACTACGCAGGAAGCGGGTGAGCGTCCAGCCGTCAGTGGAAGCAGAAGCGGCCGAGTCGTGCTGCGTCGGACAGCTGCAGCCCCAGATCCAGTCCAGCAACGTCGTGGAGCGGAAGCTGCAGGCGGCGCTGAGCGACAGCTCGGGCGACGGCCCGATGAACTGCGAGATGAGCGGCCCCACCTGCGTCAGGGCGTCGGCGCCGCGCTCGTTTCGCAGCACAATCGTCACGCTCTGCAGAGTGAACGGCATCGGTGCAGCAAGGAGCGAAGGAGGAAGCAGTGAGGCTGAGCCCTTTTTCTTGAAGTGACGTACCCAACCAGGCCGCTGATTGGCCGAGGCAGGGGGGTCACTTCAACATACCAAAAGAGAAGGTGCTCCATGTATCTGTCGGTGAGCACTCGTGACGGCAACGATTGTTAGCGTCACATCTATTGAAGCAGTTACAGTGCCTCATTAGCGCCCGCAAGACACAGTAAGCTTAGTCCCAAAGCTCCGCACTGAGTTCGTTGGGGCGCTGTTGGTATAACTGTAACTGAAAACAAAAAGCTTTTAAGCTTATATCACGAAGTTAACTATAAGAATTTTGTAGACCTTTAGCAGTAGCTGTTCACGGTGCGTATGATTTGACAGCCTCTTGAAACATGTGTGTCAAAGTAACTTTCGACGTGAATGAACATCGAGAGTCTAGGTTTTAGTTCAAGCACTATCTCGCAGCGTTTCCAAACCGGTTCTACGCACACGTGTTATAGATGGAATATCCACAAGATCGTCCGCCTTCAGCGATGACGAACGTAATCGTGTAGCAAAGCAGAAGCTGCCGGGAATACGAAGATCGCCATTCTTTTGCTCAAAGACCGGCGAAAGAGTACAAAATAACATAAAAATAGACTGATCCATTTCGTATTTGCGTTAGGGGGGGGGGTCTGATTGACGCTGTAGTCCATCACGGATATGATTGATTGTTGTGGATGGATGTGACACAACATCCTAACGGCAATATCCCGATCAACCTTCGTTGCCGACAAATCACAATTCAAAAAAGGTCGAGTTGGCAACGATGCCGCAATTTCCTGTGAACAAATACGTTCGGTACAAGCGGGCCACGTCCTTCTTTCTGGACTAGCTGCTGCAGGTCCGAGGTGGCGGACGCGACGCGACTAAGATCGTACGGCTGAAAACACTCACACAGGTTGTGGAGGACTTAGTGTAGTAGGTCGAACTTCAAAAACGCGAACACAGTCGGGGGAAGTTGGCACTTCCTTCAGTTGTCTGTCGAGTGCATTGCGCTTGCCGGCTTTGAGATAAAACCAAAAGTGAGAAACTAAAACATGCATGCCGACTAGCTGCTCTACATCGCCGCCACCAGCGTCCAAGTGGTGGCGCTCTTCACGACCTTCAGTAAGAGCTCCCTACTGCAACTTGCACCTTGCACCTCGCACCAGCTTGAGTTAACGAACGCACGCACGATGTGCACTTGAGCACGCCAAGCCAGCACTCGCTGGTTGTGGCGCCCAAGTTCAACACCGCTGCATACTCGGCCACAGCGCTGGCTGAGCAACAGCACTCGCTGAGCAATAGCACACATGGCTGACTGCAACCACATGCTGGCAGCAGCACGCTGCCCAGCATCGCCGCCGTACTCGACTGCACTGCGTGGTCGTGGTTGGGCTTTCATGCCGCCACCCACTACACTTAGCAGCCAAACCGTCCACATTAGCTCCCACACTCCTGAAAGACTTCCCCAAGGCTCTCGCAGCCTGTCAATGCGCTATCACGTTGCGAGAACGTGTGGCCGCCTACTTCCCAGATGATGAACACGGACACCAGCACTTCTTAGGGTCGCTAAGGAGCTGGCTCGATACCTTGAAGGGGGTGGTTGTCAAGCCACGACAGCCACATCAAGATGACGGAACTGCTGACGAGCAGGACGGTGCCAAGTACGAGAACTACTACGAGGCGCTTGGGGTGGACGCGGACTATTTCCCTGATGCGGAGACATTCGTGGTAGAGCCTTCTACCTCGAAATCATTCAAGGCCGATCACCAGTAGTTGCCGGAGGAGGCGTTTGAGGAGGATATGAGGCTGGAAGTGGCATATTTATTTATCGAACTCGAGGAACTCGCGCATGAAGTCTTCAATGCTTACGATAACGTCAAGAAGCAACAATGCACCATGGTGGAAGCGACGGTGGTAGCCAAGCTGGCTATGGACGTTATCATTATTTTGATCGCGACTTTGCAGTTACGGTACCCATCACTTAATACGGGCTTGGATTTCTTGGATGTCGTTATGGAAAAGACGCTGAAAGCATATCCGCTCGTATGGAACAGGCCTACCGGACTACTCGCAGCAATCTCCAAAAGGACGCGGTATTCACGTTCGTCCCGGGTATGTTTCTGCTAGATTTCGCAAGTGTCGGTATCACGCTGGAAGCGTTCGCGAGAATAACCCCTCCAAATCTTCAGTACACGATAGTTGTTCCACGTGGATTTTACGGTGAAAGCTACGGCGAAGGACGGACTCCACACTACGTGCTCCCAGATCTCAGCAACATGAACATGGTGACGTTTCTACGGCAGCAACTGCCGGAGTTGTACAATTCGCTCCTCTATACAAAGGTCACGACTTTCAAGTCGTTCGAGCCAACTGAAGATCCTGATTGGAGGCTATCGGGACCTTTCATCAGCGTCATGGACAAGTTCTTTAAGTCCTGCGAGGTCACAGCTTCGACCGTGTTTGTGTGCATTTGCTGGCTGAAGTCAGTCGCGGCGTTGCAAGGAGACGGAGGCCTTAAGAAGTACACGAGCTGGACACTGAAGCACTCGGCGGACATCACGACTAAATTTGACGTGGCAGTGGCTACAGGACAGGGGTCGGACAATACAGTATGAAATTGTATTGCGAGGCCAAAGCTGCAGTAGTAATAACGGCAATATGAGGGCAACCAATAATAATAATTGGTACAATTTAAGTATATTGTACTATTCGTGACATGAGCTATTCATTGCCAAAATGTGACAGGAAGGCCGCAAACTTCGCGCGAACTTTACCCAAACGTCCCATGGCTGATATCGAACTATTACTGAGGTGTCAGGCCAACCTATACAGAAAATACAGGTGGAGGCTGATGACGATTACAATAGCCTTGTACTGTTTCCAGGACCGTTTTGGGAAGTGTTGCTGTCCGGCAAAGTGCTATTGAGTATACACCGCTTCCTCCACAAAAGTCTCGCAACCCAAGGCCAAGGCTGTGTCCTCGACCCGAAAAATAGAGATTATAATAGTTTATTGTAGCATTTTCATCATTTATGAACGCCCAACCCCAGAATTCATAGTATTTGATATTGTGTTGCTATTATTGGGGCAATATCATATTGTATTGGTTTCATGATCTTCCAATAATAAATAATTGTAGTGGGACAATACCATAATAATTGTTTTGCTATTATTTTTTCCGACCCCTGCTACAGGAGCAATCGAAGCTGTCGACAAGGAACTTCATGAGTTCTTCACGTTTTACTTGGTGTTTATGGGAGTATCGAACTCCCATTCCCATCTAGCCCATACCAACCCCATACTCGCGGGGCTCATGATGCTGGAACTGAGTCTCGCGCACCGAACTGGTGCGTCCTACACGTTGCGAGCGTCTCGCATGATTCCACAACGACTCGCTGGAGCTGTTTTTTTTATTTCATACAGCGCGGGGTGATTACTGGTTGCTGCGAGTCGTATTGTGAAGGCGTGTCCACCATTTCGAATATCTGGGTTTGGCAAGTGAACTTGTTGTGGTAACCCTGAAGTTTTATGCCTTCGCTCACCTATACAATGCGCTCGTGACCGAGGGCTTTCTACGCCAATTACCGTTTGTCGAGGAAATATTGGGTATTTACGAGAATATGCTGTTTACTCCGTCCAGAGCTGCCGCTCATATTATCGCACCTACCTCTTAAGTTTGAGTTTGAAAGCGACGGCGCTAGATGCAGTACTTCGTGGGAAACGTGGCAATGTCGGGAGTGATATGAGGAAGGCGCGGACGGTGTTCTTGCTGTCAGATGTATCGAAAATATTCCGGCTGATGGTAAAAGGAGACAGCTCGGTTTTGGGGGGTCTGTCATCGACTGGTCTGCTCACTAGTGCTGCAAAAACTTGCTCGAAGGAATTATTCGAGAGTCGAGTGTTGTCTCGTGACATTGTGATTCTCCATGATGATCTCACGGATATCTTCACGGAGATGTGTGACGTGTTGGGCAAAGGGCCGACACGGGGTGGGAGGGACGAGAATTTCGTGATGACGTCTGTGATTCGGGCTTTAGATGCTCTGCAGCCAAACGGGGAGCTGCTTGTCAGCGATAAGTGGTGGGCGCGTCAAAGAAGTCTGCAAGAAGCTAGCAGCAGTGGTTGAAGCGAAGTTTGGAGCCTCCGCGGAGGAACTGGAACAAAAGTACTGCGTGTTCTCGTCTTTGCTGAACGAAGAGAAGCCAGTCACTGGAGATCATCGACCAAAAAGCCATCCTACGGTGATCGGTCTTGCTGAACAACTCCAGCGGATAGCGGTAGGAACCCCGAGCTCGAACACACAAAGAAAAAGAAAAAAAGAGAAACAAAAAGAATAAGAAGGGCAAAGTGAAGCGAGATCAAGCATCCTCAGCGCCAAGAGCAGTAGCGGGTGGTGGTGACGAGGTTGCAGAACTATCACCAGTTCTGAAGCAGCTTCTGGTAGCAGTGGGTGTGGATACGGCAGCAAATCAGGATCAACCTGGCGTATCAACAATGGAGGAATTACTGCGGCAAACTGTGGCGGCTGCGTTTACTCGTTTGAGAGATCCTGGTATTCCTGTGCAGTTCAAAGGTGTCGACGTGCAACATGCCACTGCATTGATGGAGAGATTGCAGGGGTTAGCTGCGGAATTTTCCACTCCGGCCAAGGAAACAAGCTCCTCTACTCGCATGCGAAACCTAATCTTCTCGGAGGCTTCGCGCGTCATCTACTTGATGCAGAGGTTTCATCGAACGCTATCAAGGTTCCTCCTCTCGCTCCTGTCCGTGACTTTTGTGACACGAGTGAAAGCTTCACAATGTTTTTGGCGGCTACTGCTCAAATTAGCGTCTCGATCGGCAAGAATACGGCTCGGCACGATTCAAAGAGAAGACGCCCAACGATGACCGCGAGCGCGTGTTTCACGAGCTGTTCGACCTGCTGAAAAACAGCGATGGACCACTAAATGAGAACGATCTCGGCTACGTCAAGGGTGCGATCAAGGAGGACCCTGAGCTTTTGGGGATGGTTTCGAGCCGCAATGCATCGGGCGATTGCGAAGCATCGATATATCACCTTTGTACGCTACTTCACCATGCCGCTGCTGGCCCTGCACACGACATTGACCTGGATGATTCAGTTGGGGGCGCTTACGATGCAGCCAAGACCGGCATTTTCAGCAAGCGATGATGCAAGTGCTCCGAATGTACTGGCCAACACTTTGGCCGTGCACAGCGCAGCAATGGCGGGCCATGCAGAAATCGTTCAACTTCTTCTGGAAGCTGACAGCATGGTGGACTTGAACACAGCGACGTTCCTTACAAAAGAAACACTTGCTCACTTGGCCGTTAACCACGGGCATCGGCGTGTGCTCGAAACCCTCTGCTTGTTCAAGATTGATATCTGCGCTAAGGACGGCAACGGAAAACGTGTATGCGATGTGACAGCCGATCGTGAGTGGTCACGTGACATCGCAGTGACCATCGTCAAGATCGAGCAAGGTCGCGCGAAAGCTAAACAGCGCGTTGCGCCTCGTACCAACTTCCATCATTCTTTTTCAGCTGAGCAACCGCACAAGTTAGTGGTCGCGCGGCGCGATGAGGAGCGGCGGCTTGCATTTGAGAAAATGAGTTTAAACGATGGGGTGGGGTCGACGAAGAAGAAGATCAAAAAAGGCAAGAAACGAAAGTGAAGCGCTGGAGATCAGCGATTGTACCAGCAAGTAACAATCTACGTTTATGCTATTGGAAAGTTTTTGATGTTTGGGGACTTTGCGATTAGAAATAAATCAACGATTCTTTACGCAAGAATTTGCTAACATGGTCCGCTCCGTGACGGCGATCCTCGCACGGCTGCTAACTTTACTGCAGCCTGCTACTAGCCTAACGATGCCAGGTTGGTTCAGCTTTTGCATATACCACAGCGCATCCATCCGCTTACACCATCGTGACATTGTGCAACTGCATGCAGAGACTTGTGGGACTGAGAAGCAGACCGCAGGCTACATCGACCAACCGAATCGAGCGGATACCCACTACTTCTACTGGTATTTCGAGTCGCGCAGCAAGCCTAGCACCGACCCGTTGATCGTGTGGATTCCAGGGGGCCCGGGTGAGGGCGGCACCTACGGACTGTTGGGTGAGAATGGGCCGTGCACCGTGAATGATGATCTCTCAACCAAGGTTAACCCACATTCGTGGACGGCGGTGGCGAACGTGGTGTGGGTCGATCTCCCGGGGAATGCCGGGTTCAGCTACTCAACTACCGCAGAAGACGATGAATCCACCGACGAACGCGTGGACGAGAGCATCTTTTGGTTCCTTCAGGAATTTCTGAAGAAACACCCCGAGCTTCAGGGGCGAGCATTATTCTTGGTTGGCGAGAGTTACGGCGGACACTTTGTGTCGTCAGCAGCACACTTCATCTTGGCCAAGCAGCGTGAGTCTGTGTCCGCAGAATCAATCGCCATTAACCTTCAGGGCATCGCGATCGGTAACGGACTCGTCGATCCTGTGGAGGTTTTCACGCATTTCGTGAACATGACCAGTAACGTGTACAACATCACGCTAGTGGGTGAACCTCAATTGGCAGCAATGGAATCTGCACTTGCACATTGCCGAGATCTGATGACCCGTTGTCAAAGCAACACGTCGATGTGTGGAGTAGCTGGACTGTACTGTCAGCAGACGCAGCTTCTCCCGCTGCTGCGAGCTCATCGGAATCCGTACGACATCCGCCAGAAGTGTCAAACTTCCCTCTCGAATGCGACCAAGTGTATGCTCAAGGTACCGAAGATAAAGGCGTATTTGGACTTACCCAAAGTCCGAGAGTTCCTCGGCGTCCACCCAAGCCGCACTGAGTGGATCCTGTTGAACCGCACTATCAACGCCGCCTTCTTCTCCGCGCCAAGCTTCTCGGGGTATTTGTCCATGGGTGGCAAACTGGCCAACCTGCTAAATTCTGGCCTGCGCGTGTTGCTGTACGCTGGAGACGCCGACATTCTCTGCAACATTTACGCTACCGAGGCTACTGCGAAAAAGCTGAAATGGAGTGGAGCCACAAATTTCAACTCCGCACCAGAGCGTGCATACACGACCTCGTCAGGTTTTGGCATCCTGCAGTCGTATTCACACTTGACATTCGTGAAGGTTCACAACGCCGGCCATGCAGTCCCGGGAGACCAACCCGAGCTCGCACTCGATATGATCACCAAGTTTGTCCACAACGAAACATTCTAAACCGGAGGTACATGTAGCACCCTGATTTATATCCACCCCTAATAAAGGCCATTCGAGTCATATCCGTGTCATGCGCATTGATTGATCCTTTGGATCGCAGCGAGCAATATCGTTCCCTGCAGGCAAGTAGGTACAAGCGCGTCGCGGCCTTCTTCCTGGACTGGCTGCTGGACGCGCAGGTCTGGGGCGTTTCGCGGGGCAGCGCCTCAAGCTCTCGGCGCTCAGCGACGTGGTGCGCGACATCGCAGCGGAGCCCTCGACGCTCACTCCGAAGCTGCTGAACGCGCTGCCCAAGGCACTCGCAGCCTGCCAATGCTCCATCACATTACGGGAGCACGTGGCCAAGTTCGTCTCTGAAGATGACGCGGGTCAAAGGGGGCACCTCCACTTCCTTCAATTGCTGAGGAATTGACACTCGACGCTGAAAAAAGTGTCATTTCCGGAAGCAAATGTACCCATTTCCGGTGCTCTGGTGCTCTGGAGCAGGAGAGTAAGAACTTCGAAAACTATTATGACGTTAGACGAGGACTATTTCCCTGATGCAGGGGACTTTGAGGCTTCTGAGACCCCCAAGAGCCCCAAGGCTGACAGAGAACGACTGTTTAACGAGGCTTTTGCTGAGGATCTGAGGCTGGAGGCGGTTTACTTCTTCTTGGAGCTGATGGAAGGGGTTTTCACTATCTACGACCAAGTGAAGAAGGGAAAGCGGTCCATGGTGGAGGCCACTGTGGCGGTGAAGCTGGCCATGGACACGGCATCTGCATTGACGGTGGGGCTGCAGTTGAAGTATCCGGCACTGCAAACGGCGGAGGACGTGGGCGTCGTGCTGATGGATAACTTACCGAAGAACTTCTGGGGTCGAGCTACCGAGGCCGTGCTGGAGTTTTGGAAGAACTTCGAAGCGGATGGAACGTACACGTTTGTGCCGGGGATGCTGATAGTGGAGCGTGCTAAGTACGCTGTGTAGCTTCACGACGGGTATTCCGACGAACCCCATGCATGGAATGGTACTGCGAGAGGGATACTTTGGTGAGACGTATGGAGAGGAACGGACGCCGGCGTATGCCTTTCCAGACACTAGCAATATGGTCATTTTGCTCCTGCAACAGCTGCCGCACCTTTATAATGCGATCCTCGACTTGAAGATGGCGAACGGGAGCAAACTTGATACGTCCGGCGTGACGGGGCCGTTCTTGGGGTTACTGAACGAGTACTTTACGTCACGCAATGTTACAATCCCGCTGGTGTTCGCGTGCATTTGTTGGGTGAGATCTGTGGCGGCACTCCAAGGGGATGCAGGACTTAGTCGCAATGTTGGCGTGACGATTAAGCACTCGACGGACCTGATGGATCGAATTAAAGCCACGGCGGTGAAGCGCGCAGTGCAGACTGGTGACATGCTAGTCCGCGTCTTGGTAAAGCAATGCGATGTGCAGAGCCAGCAAGCGAGCAAAAGTCACCACTTAGCGCGCGCAAACCCACTTATGGCAGGCTTCATGATGCTGACGTTCGATCTCCAGTATCTGCAGATGGCAAGTGATGTCTTGACGTGTACAACGCGCTTGTGGAGCAAAGATTTCTTGAAAAAATCCCGTTCTTCGTGGAATTTATAAAGATCTACGAAAAGTGGATCTTCACCCCGACGAGAGCGCGGATGTGCGGGGCACTTACTTACCTGCTCAGCTCGAATTATGCCGCAGATTCGATCAATGAGATGTACTGCAGCCGAGCTTTACCGGTCAAGTACGATAGGGGTCGAGCGCAAACTCTGCTCAGCGATTTCTCCAAGATCTACCAGCTGATGACTGCAAACGACAAGTCGTTTCTGGGGAGTGCTTCAGCGAAGACTATGCTGATCGAGGTTGCTGACACCTGCGCCGAAGAACTATTCGAGACTCGCATGCTTTCGGGTGATCTTTTGACACTCCACGACGACCTTACTGGCGTATTCCAGCAAATGGCAGATGAGCTGAGCCAACAACGGACTGAACCGGTTGAAAACGCTGCGATGATGTTCGTGATGCCGTTCTTTGATGGGCTGAAGCCCAATGGATCGATGGATATGGGGGCGCTACCGGGCTCGAACCGTAGAATGCATGTCGGAGCTGCGGCTGTCGGGGTGATTAGGTCGATGTGCGCAAAGGCCGCTGCTGTTATCCAAGGCAAATTCGCTACCCCAGCACTGGTTTGCGACCAGAAGTACTTCACATTCCCGTCTACCCCAGACTTTTCCACAAACGAATATGGGCCGGTTCAAAGTAAAAGAGACACTGTTGATAACGACGACAACTACGAAGATTATGAGGATGATGACGACGATTACGAGGACTACGATGATGAAGATGAAGACAGCTACGATGTACTCTCCGAGCTTATGGACTTGAGTAGATCTGTTTAGTGAAGTGCACGAAAGTCCCCACAAATGCACTGAAGTACTTTAGTGCATGCACCTGTACACAACTGATGCTGGACATTAGCGCGTGCACTAAAGTACTTTAGTGCACTTTCAGGGAGTTTCGCGCACTGCACTAAACAGGTCTAGGGATGAGCTATGACCCGCTAGTCGGAAGCGACTCAAGGTACTTCAAAGCCAAAATCAAGAGGAACCCAGGGCTCTTGGGCATACTGTCGATGGAGTGCCTAATGTACATCATGTTCGGTGGCTCCAACACTCCCCCCGGCGAGACCCGCGATGACCTCTGTACGCTACTTCATCATGCAGCTGCAGGCTCTGCGCACGACCCGAAGCTCGTCGAGTGGATGATCCACCAGGGAGCACTTGCCAATCAGCCGACGCAGTTCTGTCGAATGGGGAACGCGAGTTGGCAAAGAAACCTGCCAGTCCCAAAGAATGTCATGCCAAACACGATGGCCGTGCACAGTGCAGCGATCGCGGGTCACGAGGACATTGTTCGGATCCTACTGGAGGCTGACAATATGATCGACCTGAACACACCCACGTTCCACTCCAAGGAGACGATCACTCACTTGGCTGTCAAGTAGGGCCACCGGAGCATGTTCAATATGCTCCGCGCGTTCGGAGCCGACATCTGCATCAGGGACGGCAATGGCAAACGGGTGAGCGACGTGACGTCCGACCGCAAGTGGTCCCGCGAAATCGCCGCGGAGATTGCCGAGATTGAGCAAGGTCGAGCGAGAACTGATAGCGCGAAGAACCGAGATGCGATGCTTCGTCATCAGAGCATGCTTCGTGCGGAGAGAGTGCGCAAATCGGTCGCTGCTCAGCGTGATGAAGAGTGCCAACGTCAGTTTGTAAATGATTCAACGGATAATGTAGCAAGTTCCAAGAAGAAGAAGAGCAAGAAGAAAGGCAAAAAGGGGAAGAAGGGTAAACCTAAAGGGGGTGATGCAGTCTCAGCTGCTACTCCGGCGCCGGAGGAGCCGCAGGAGAAGTCTCAAGTTTGCTTAAGGATCTACTGCTATGAACTGATTCTGAAGCAGGGGACGGCAATTCCGATGAAGTGGCCTCGCTCAAACACTCGTTCGAAGACACGATGGCTTCTTTCACGCGCTTACGCGACCCCAGCATCCCTGTTGACGACAAAAGTGACGACGGGGAGCGAGTCTGCAGCGCCGTGAAGAAGCTGCAGACCCTCGACGAGGCGTGCGCCCACCCCAACCGAATGAACACGACGGATCGCCGCATCCGCACTTCGGTGGCCTCCGAGGCAGCGCAGAGCACGCACCTGATGCAGAAGTTCCATCGCGTCGACCACGCCGCCATCACAGTGCCTGCGCTCTCTTCAGTCCGCAAGCAGTGCGATACGACACCAGACTTCGTCCACTTTGTGCTCCGTACGGCGCAGCTCTTCGTCTCCGTGGACAGGAAGCCGCAGGCTCGTGAGGTTTTGGATGTACTGGAGAAGCGCCTGTTGAAGACCTCATTCGCCCAGCGAGAGCCGCCGCAGTTTCGAGAGCTGGTGGAGACCTACTCCACCGCACGCAGCGCTATATTGCTTGGGACGCACCTCGAGCACCGAGCGCTCGAATGGTCCGTGGAGAGCGTCAAGCTGCAGACGAAGCAGGACAAGATGGTGAGCCAGCCCTTCTACTTCGAGTACTCGACCGCGGACTCATACCGCTCCTACCCCTACCAGTTCGAGAACGCCATCGACGCAGCCCCTGATCTGAGTGGCGTCGTGTGCTTCGGCAAGCGCGCGTTGCACGTCGTGTACGGCGGCAACAGCCAGGACGACGTGGCGCGAATGCGTGAGCTGGTACTGCAGGTGGCTGATCAAACCGGCGTCAAGTTTACTACGAGTCGTGTCTGCGCTTCGGAGACTTTGTCTTCTCCGCCGCCGGCGTTGTCCGCGCAACTTAAACGCGCCGGAAAGGCAACACTACACCTTCAACGTTGCGTCAATCCAGCTGGTTTCCTCTCATTGGTTCGTCACTGTACCACAAGTATGGTACACAAAGCCAAAAAAGCTGCCAACAAAGCACCGCTCCATTCTCGAAATTTCTCCTGCTGGACGACGCTCCAAGGGTGACGTGGCAAGCTGTCCGTTGCCGCTGCTGCTGTAGACGCACGCCAGCTGGCGCCGATATAACGAAGAGGAGAAGACGACGAGGCCGCTTACCACTCGCCATTCCTCAATTTTCCATCCACCCAACGGATCCGACACTAAAAATCAAGAATCCATCCAACAGGATTAATTGAGCGATCATGACGGATAATTCGACGCGCGTGCGTGTGCGTGTGCGCCTGCTGGTGGCGCTGCTGTTCTTGCTGAGCCTCTCGTCCGTGCTGGCCATGGACCCGAGCAAGGACTACTACAAGGTGCTGGGCGTGGGCAAGTCGTTCTCGGACCGGGAGCTGAAAAAGTCGTACCGGCAGCTGGCGCTCAAGTTCCACCCGGACAAGGCCGAGAACGCCGAGGACAAGGAGAAGGCCAAGGAGAAGTTCGTCGAAGTGTCCGAGGCCTACGAGGTGCTGTCCGACCCGGAGAAGCGCAAGGAGTACGACGACGCGCGGCGCTTCGGCGCGGCGGGGGGTCCCAACGGCGGCTTCCCCGGGGGATTCGGCGGTCAGGGAGGTAGACGCCGCTCCACGGACGAGAACATGGCTTCATTCACGAAAATGTTCGAGAATATCTTCGGTCACGGCTTTGGAGGAGCTGGTGCCGGCGCTGGAGGCTTTGGTGGAGGGTTCCCTGGAGGTGCAGGCGGTTTTGGAGGCATGGGTGGAATGGGGGGAATGGGTGGGATGCCCAACGAGTTCCAGTTCAGCGGCATGGACGGCTTCGGTCACGCGCAGCGTCCGGGTGCAGGTGGCGCGTACCGTGGCAACCGCCAGGCTCGGCAGCCGACGACGTTGTTCGCGTCGGATTCGCCCGTGCGGTCGCTGTCCGAGAAGAAGTTCCCGGGCAAGGAGGCCAACAACGAGTGGCTGGTGCAGTTCTACTCCATGGACGTCCCCAGCGCCGAGTTCCGTGGCAAGTACGAGAACATTGCAAGGGACCTCGAGGGGAAAGTGCGCGTGGGTGCTGTGAACTGTGACAAGTACGAGGACTTCTGTCGCTCCAAGGGGATCAAGACCCACCCGTCCTTTGCGTACGTGTGGGACGGACAGCTGACCAAGTACGAGGGCGCGCTGGACGAGTACCAGGTGTACAACTTTGCCATCGAGAAGCACATCGTGCGGCTGCAGCGGATGCGCGAGTCTGGCGAGCTGGAGAAGCTGCACGCGGGCAACGCGGCCAAAATCTGCAACGTGGGCAAGCACGCGACGTCGGGCGCGTCCTCTCTGTGCGCGGTGTTCGTGCTCTCGGGAGACAAGAAGAAGCGCGAGCAGGAGATGAAGGTGGCGCAGCAGGTGGCGGCCAAGTTCCGCCACTCCAAGAGCATGAAATTCGCGTACGTGGACTGGAAGGCGCAGCAGCGCACGGTGCGGAAGCTGGTGGAGACGGCAGTCGGCCACAACCACAGGCGCCAGGACCCGGGACTGCTCATCATCCGCACCAAGCGCGGCAAGACGCGTGTCGGCGTGCACTCGCTGGACGCCGACTTCAGCGCAGATGCGTTATCAGCCACTATGGAGCGCGCGGTGGGCGGCGATCTGTCGCTGGCGACCGTGCACGGACCTGTGAATTTCCGCTGAGGGAGAGTAACGTAGTTGTTGGCATTAAGCTCCCTGATTAATTCATTTGTTAGAGTTCCTACACTCCCCCATGAAGAACCACGAAATACTTCCTCCGGCATTACGCAGCATTTTTTCCCTGGTATTATTTCAACATTATCAACAACTAATGATTTTATTTTATTTTTGATATTTTTAAAACTAAGAGTGAAACTGAAAAAAATAGTTGCTGCAAGCTAGTTCTTGCTTTTGGGATTATTTGTCGGCGTAAGGCTCTTCACAGAGAAAATCTGCAGCTTCAGGTCTCGTCCTCGGTATTCAATGTCGAACTGGTCGCAGGCATCTGTAAAACACGCATGGACAATCTCCACGCCAGGGAACTTCTTCGTGTGGCAGATCTCCGCAATAAACTGACTTTTTCTAGCGAAGTTGACCACCACGACTCGGTCCACCTTCATTCGTTCTTTGAGCTGCTTTGCTTGCTTAGCAGCAGCCGTGATCTCCGATCTCTTGAGTAGATTGAATGATAGACTTTTTATGGGCTCGTATACTGATCGGGTCGGTGGATTTGGTCGGGCTTCGCCTGTGTGAGCTCCTCGTTTGCACCGCCAATTTCGCTTCGCTCATGGCGGGCAAGGCGTCGGTAAAAAGATAGTAACTCATACTTAGACATACCTACTCCGGCCCACGCGCCGACTGTTGAAGTGCACCGCTAAGTACGGTTCCGTTCCGTACCTGAACCGTTGGCACGGTTCACCCTGAACCGTCCTGGAACGCTTCCTATTGGCTAATCTTCGGGATGGTCAACTTGGTTGGTTCGACTGTGTAGCAAGCGGTGATTGCACATGCAGACACAAGAGGACAACAAGAAGGAGGAGAGGGGAGTAGAGTTGAGAAGGACAAGTAGGACAACTTTGGTAACTTTAATCAACTCACTTCGGCATTTGCCATCAACAACACAGGCGTTCCTCAATAGGTTAACAGCCGCAAGGACGCTCGCCGCAAGAACGCTCGACCAAGAACGCTACGCTCAAGACATGACGACCAAGCGCGCTGAAGTCCTCTTGGGCAGTGGGAACTACTTCCACTGGGAGTACAACATGCGCATGACGCTGGCCCGGAAGGGGCTGCTTGCGCATTTGGAGGTCGTCAAGGCGGAGAATGAGATCACGGAGGCGTGGCTCGTGAACGACGCGAAGGCGTTGGGCATCATCGCGCAGGGTGTGGAGATCCAGCACCAGACGAAGATCCGTTCCGCGACGCGTGCCATGCAGGCGTGGAACACTCTGAGGGGGTACTACAACCATACCACGCTGCACAACCGTGTCGCCATGACCCGGCGTCTGGACGAGTTCAAGATGGACTCTGGAACGTCGATGGCCAAGCATCTGGACGCGTTCGACGAACTGATCGTTGGGCTGCAGACGATGTGAGAACCGGTCGACGTGGCACGGCAGCTCGTGGTGCTGCTGAGTAGCCTACCGTCGGAGTACGAGCTGATCGCGTCCATCCTGGAGAACGCCAAGGATGTCACGTTGAACGACGTGAAGGAGAAGCTGTTGAAGGAGTTTGAACGGCTCGAGAAGAAGGATTCCACTACGGAGAAAGCGTCCCGCGCCAACGGGAACGCTGGCCGGTTCAAGGGCGGTCGTGGAAACGGTCGCAAGGGGAACGGTCCGAAGAAGAACGGTGCCTTCAAGGGCAAGTGCTGTCAGTTCGACCAGGCGGGCCACACGAAGCGGGACTGCCCGGGCAAGAACGGTAGCGCTGGGAACGACACCATGTTCGCCGTGGGTGAGGAACGCCTCGCCGGGTGGGTGATCGATAGCGGGGCGTCATCCCACATGACCCCGCATCGTGATGACCTCTTTGAAATGGATGTAACGGTCACTGGCATGCAGGTGACTATCGCCGACGGAAAGCAGCTGCCGGCCGTCGGGCGACGAACGGTCAAGCTGACGGGGATGGACGGGAAACGCATCACAATGAAGGACGTGTTGTACATTCCGGGACTCAACAGACGGTTGCTGTCGGTAGGGAAGCTTGCGGAACGCGGTCTGAGCGTTGAGTTCCAGCGTTCCTCGTGTGTCATCTGGGGGAACACTAGCGCGGTCGCGATGGGCAAGAAGATTGGCAAGGCGTATGTGCTCGACTGCGAGCAGGAGTCGACACGGTTCGTGGAATACGCCGGGGCTGACAGTCAGTGGGAGCTTTGGCACGCTCGCATGGGGCACCCGAGCGAGAACGGTATGGCCAAGACTCAGCGTGCTACGAACGGTTTGCCAACCGTGGGGCGTAGCATCAAGACCTTGTGTGGCGGATGCATGCAGGGGAAGCAGACCGTGACATCGTTCCCGGCACGGTCGACGACGAAGACATCGCGTGTGTTGGAACTAGTCCACACGGATGTGATGGGGCCGATGAGAACGGTCTCCAAGGGTGGTGCGAAGTACGTGCTGACGTTCGTGGACGACTACTCAAGGTATGTCGTGGCGTACTTCATGAAGAAGAAGAGCGAAGTGGCCGACAAGCTGAAGGAGTTCAAGGCGTTCTACGAGAACCAATGGGGAGAACGCTTGAAGTGCCTGCGCTCGGACAATGGAACGGAGTTCGTGAACGAGACGGTCACGGATCTCTGTCGCCGGAACGGTATCATGCATCAGCGAACGGTGCCCTACAGCCCGCAGCAGAACGGAGTTGCGGGACGCATGAACCGGACGATCATGGAGAAGGCACGCAGTATGTTACACTACAAGGGCGTGTCGACGGAATGGTGGGCGGAGGCTGTGAGCACGGCGGTGTACCTGATCAACCGTTCCACGAACACGGAACGCTCGGATGTGACGCCGTACGAGGTCAGCTTCAAGGTGAAGCCACGGATGGATCACCTGCGTGTGTTCGGCTCACCGGGGTACGCTCACATTGACAATGCGAAGAGGACGAAGCTCGAGCCCAAGAGCTTTAGGTGCATGTTCCTCGGGTATGCGGAGAACGCTAAGGGGTACCGTGTATACGACGTGGATGCGTCCAAGGTCAAGGTGTCACGGTCGGTCAAGCTGGACGAGCGCGAGGTGAGCAGAATCTATGATACGCACTCGCCGCAGCATGGAACGGTCATCCATGTGACCAAGGACGGAGATGTGCCAGCCGTTCCTATCGAGGTGGAACGGCAACCGGTCGAGGACGAACCCATGGAAGCTGTTGAGGAACCCGTTCCAGACGTCGAGATGGATGAGGCTGAGCCAGAGCAGGAGGTACTGCGGCTGCCGGCACCGGAACGCCCAGCTGCCACTGGATTGGAGTTGACTGCGTACCGACCTCCACCTCAAGCGTTCCAGGACGACCACCTGGTGTTCCACCCCGAGCCGGAACGGACAAGAAGATCCCGTGAACCGGTGTTTCTCTTGGGGAACGGTGACGATGAAGATGGCGAGGAACGCAAGTCGGAAGGGAGTGATGGGCCGCCGTCCCCGAAGCGACCCAGGATCGACGAGGACGGTCTCATTGCGGAGGCTGTATTGGCGTACGTGGCCAGGATCGACGATGGAACGGATGTCCCGGCAACGTATGCGCAGGCCATTGCTAGCGAAGACGCAGATGCCTGGCGGGATGCAATGGACACGGAGTTGCTCTCGCACGAACGGAACGTGGACGCTGGTACGACGTGGAACGCATACGCGTACGATTGGTAGCCGGTGGGTGTTTGCCAAGAAGCGTGACCAGAACGGTCGCGTGATCCGGTACAAGGCACGGTTGGTTGCGAAGGGTTTCAAGCAGAAGTACGGTGTCGACTTTTCGAGACGTACTCCCCGGTCGCGAACATGAATTCGATCCGGGTCGTGCTGGCAGCGTGCGTGGCAGACGCATACGTGATGGAGCAGTTGGACGCGGACACAGCGTTCCTGAACAGTGAGCTGACGGACCGTGTGTACATGGAGGTGCCATTTGGTATTGAGAACACTGCGAACTACGTGTGCCAGCTGAACAAGGCTATCTACGGCTTGAAGCAGGCGGCCAGTGCGTGGAACAAGACCATCCACCGCATGTTCTTGGGGAACGGATTCAAGAGCTGCGGGGCGGACCAGTGTGTCTATGTCAAGCGTTCCAGGAACGGCTTCATTTACATGTGTCTGTACGTCGACGACATGATCATCACTGCGAAGACGAGTGGTGAGGTTCATGAGGTGAAGAACGCATTGTAGAACGCGTTCAAGATGAAGGAGCTCGGCACGGCGAAGTTCATCTTGGGTATGGAGATTGATCACAACAAGAACGCTCGGACGCTCATGATCAAGCAGACGAGGTACATTGACGATGTGGCGGAACGGTTCGGCCAGCGGAACGCTAAGCCTGTGGACAACCCGTGCACGTCGGGCCTGAAGCTGACTAAGACGCAGTCGCCCGGAACAGATGAAGAGCGTACTGAGATGTAGTCACGGCCGTACCGTTCCCTGATCGGATGTCTGCTTTACATCACGACATGCACCAGACCGGATATCGCGTACGTGGTGACCCAGTTGTCGCGATTCCTGGAGAACCCCGGTCCGCAGCATTGGCGAGCTGCCATTCGCGTGCTACGCTACTAGAAGACAACCCGGAAGTATGGTATCGTGTACCAAGGTGGCGACGACAGCATCACGGTTGAAGCGTTCACGGACGCCGATTGGGGAAGCAACATTGATGACAGGCGTTCAGTGTCGGGAGTCATGGTGATGATCGGGAACGCTCCCGTAGTGTTCAAGTCCAAGTTCCAGAGAACGGTTGCGCTCAGCTCTGCGGAAGCTGAGTACATGGCACTGAGCCTGTGCGTGCAGGAGGTACTCTGGACGCGTGCGATGCTGAAGGACATGGGCAAGGAACAAGTGGACGCGACGCAGCTTTTGGTAGACAATCAAGGAGCGATCGCGCTGGCCCAGAACGCTGGGTACCATGCTAGAACGAAGCATGTGGACATTTGACACCACTTCATCCGCGAGAACGTGGAACGCGGAACGGTCAAGGTGGACTACGTCGAGACAAAGCAGCAACTGGCGGACATGCTGACGAAGGCGCTCGGGACGAAGACGCTCAAGCACTTGCGGGACGCTAGCGGGATCAAGGAGAAGGTCACCGTACCGTAACGGTGAGTGGGAGTGTTGAAGTGCACCGCTAAGTACGGTTCCGTTCCATACCTGAACCGTCCTGGAACGCTTCCTATTGGCTAATCTTCGGGATGGTCAACTTGGTTGGTTCGACTGTGCAGCAAGCGGTGATTGCACAAGCAGACACAAGAGGACAACAAGAAGGAGAAGAGGGGAGTAGAGTTGAGAAGGACAAGTAGGACAACTTTAGTAACTTTAATCAACTCACTTCGGCATTTGCCATCAACAACACAGGCGTTCCTCAATACCGACCATTGCAGACCTCCGCTTCGCTGCGGTTGCAAACGGTCTCTCTGAGGCCTCTCTCGACACTGTTTGATCGTTCTACAACACTACAATTTTGTATAGGCGAGCCCGACCAAATCCACCGACCCGATCACTATACGACCCCATTAATAATCTACGGATTGAATGCCAGCTCAAACGCAAAACCCTTGGGCTCCCCGACAGTTGCGTATCCGTGGCGACGCCATTGGGTTGAGGCCCGTTCTTCAGAACATCCCTCATAACTGGATACAGCGCGTGGTAGAACACAAGCAAGGAAGAAAACCCGCGTGGCTTTCTCTCGAGATGAGTCGATATGGCGTGAGAGTTCATATGACGGAGTGCCGCACACAACAGCAAGAGCGGGTCGTTGGCAGGCACAACTTCAAAAGTAGCACGTGCTGGTAGAGCTGCCACGCACATCTTCATCAAATTAGAGACGCAACTCAATCGGAGAAAATAGTTTTCCATCATGATGCCCAGAGCAAGCATAGAATAGACCAGTTGACTTTCGTGGATGCCGCGATTGAATCGACCACAAAAGTGCTCCACGTGACGATTCGTCAGTTCTCCATCGTTCTTCAGCACATATTTAAGCGCATCCCATTGCATGTCGTCCAAGGCGTGTAACTTGCTCTGCACATGGAGATAAGTGGGGTTGTAGTGCTCCAAATACTCACGCAGAGCTTCCAACTTGAACCATCTCTCCCACTCGTACCACTCGAGAAGCCATTTCTCGCGGTCGATCGTGAAGCAAACTAGCGATTCAAATACACCAGGGGCACCACTGGAATAAGCAGCAATTCCAGATTGAAGCGAGCGCGTGAAGGCATAGCGGTGGCCGATATCCGCGAAAAAGTTACTCATCTGTGACTCTGAAAAGTGCTCCACCTTGATAAAACTTTCATCAACGAAGGGGCATGGGCCACCTGGACGGATAGGATTAGTTTTGGTTTTTTGTTCAAACGGGTGGGATTGTTTTAATGAGATCTTGATATATATAGAAAAACTGTTTTAAAATTTGTCCCGTCTAAATTTGTCCCGTTGTGATACTATACATAATTGTGGTGTTGATCGTGCGTCTGGGCAGTTTTACCCGGACGCATTAACCAGTTAATAACGGTTTTGGGCGTTGGATCTCGGTGCATCTTTTTAATGCGGGATAAAACGTGACCAAGGGCGGATAAAATGGTGTATTAAACGGAGTCGCATTAAACCGTTTTATGTAGGTTTTGGAAGGCTCCCATTGGCTGAACGATGCCAATCAAGCGCCTTCCTCAGTTGCAACCAGAAAGTTTCCTTGTCTGCCACATCCAAGCTGCGCGCGTGGAAGAAGAAGCACGTGACGTCGGCCAACTCCGAGCCGGTTTCAATCGAATCCATCACACCCAGAGCCAGGGAAGTTTTCACAAACTGAGGAGGCCCACATAGTAACAAACATCGGCGCCTCCATATTGTACTCGACAAGCCAGCACAAACCTCCTGGAACGCGCGAATCGTATCAAGCGGCACCGAGACCTCACTCGCATGTAGGGCCCCAGACATCTGAGACAGCCGAGCCTTCTTGAGAACGCGTCTTTCTCCTGCCGCTTCCTCTTCTAGAGTATCGAGACTCTCCTGAAGTGAGCGGACGCCAAGATAGGTTTCAGGCTCCGTCGCCGCCCCAGTACCGTGTTGACCTCGAGGAAGAATGACCAATACATGCAGGACCGCTTCCCCTATCGACGCCCTTGATGCTGCCACTTCACCAGCTGATAGTCCGACATTTTGTAACCTAGCTCGCATGTCGTCGAGTCGATCGAAGTCCGTATGTCTTCTAGACCCTCCGCCTCGCGGGCTGCGAGCCACCTGCCCTTCGTCCCCCGAGCCAAACGTAGTCGGACGTTGGTATATGGGAACCCCCACTCTTCTTGCGCTGCGATAGCCTAAAGAAGGGACGCTACTGTGCCATGTTGACGCAACGCCACCGAGAACACGGGCAGTTTTTGTCCGGGCACAGCGTAGTAAACGCTCATAGTCGGTTCCGTAGCCATGGCCGACCGTTCCTTCTCCTGACCTGGAGGAAGAAGTACCAACACGTGCACGGCTGCATCCGCCTTCAACGTCTTCTCTGGATTCACCGATGCTACCACTTCATTGACCGCTAGCCCGACAGTTTGGGACCAAGCTCGCATGTCATCGAGTCGCTCGAAGTCAGAGATGTCCTCTAGATCCTGCACCTCACTGTGAGTGACCCACGTGCCGTTTTTCTTCCGAGCCAAACGTAGTCGGACCTTGGTATATGGAAATACTAGCTCTTCTTGTGCCGCTATAGCTCGAAGGAGGTGCTCTACCGAGTCGGGTTGCCGCATCGACACCGAGAACACGGGCACCTTTTGCCCGGGTACGGCGTAGTAAATCTCCATAGCCCGTTCTGCTACATAGGTTGGAAGAATGATACTAAGTCTCACTCAAACCCTCGTAACAAAATAAAAATAGGCAAAAAATAGTTGGCAGTTGCATAATGAGTTAGCTTTCCTTTCCGTTTGCAATCACCCAAAAGTCCTTAGCAGTTTGAGCACACACAGAAGCACCAGCGAGTAGAGCTTAGCATCGGCCTTGATTGCTCATTTCAACTTCCAACCATCTTGGCACAGACGCGTTTGTACTCAAGTAGGACGTTGGGCAAGAAAAGCCGCGGGTACAGCTTGTTCAGTTTCTTCGTCGAGGTCTTCAAGTTCTTCTCCATAGTCCTGCTGGAGATGCACTTCTCTCAGAACAGGGGTGCCCGCAAATCCAAAAATGAGAGAGAGGGCATGACGATCGATTGGCCAAGCGAGGATGATCTCGAAGGTTGCGTCTTGTCTCCGTCCGTTGGTGCATGGTTTGCTGCGATAACACTCAGGAACGCAGCCTTATTCGCAATTGGCACTTTAATCGATCGATCGACCCGCGCGTTGTGGTGTTTCCGGATGATATCAACGAACGCTTCTTCGTCCGCGCCCAATTCGAGGTACTCGACACTGCGATTCTTCTTCAGCATGTCCTGGAGAGCCTTCGCCTCTCGCGCAGAGCTGCGCGCGTTTAGACTCGGATACACACGCAACTTGCGCACACGCTGGACGAAAGGATTGCTCATGTCACTTAACCCCTCTGACCCCGTATTCTGTATCCTACAGAATAAACATTATTACAGGACAAAATACCTTGCAAACTTGGCTTCAAGTTCAAAAGTCGCATATATCTTTTTGTATGGCCAACACTTTACACATCTTCCATTCAGATTGGTGATGTGTAGATAGACGGGGATTATGCGGCGAGAATAGAAAGACTAATATAAATCCCTTAAAGGTTTGAAAATTCGTACGAAAGCCAATATCTGCCGCGTGTCCGCCATCCACTGTTCTCCTCATTTCGGAAACGATGAACGGCCCCGGAGAAAAGACGTTCAAGCAGCTGTGGCGTGAGCTATGCAAGGAAGGCTGTAAGGCACGCAAGCCTACCGGCGTGGCGAAGGATCACCGCTATGTGAAGCCAGGGATCAAGGGTCGTCTCGACGGAGCAAAACGTGGAATCGACTTCTTTGAGGGTGGGTAACCATAAATTTTGTATATAACTACGTGTATGCTAACGATAGATGTATTTCCCCAGGTGAGGAGGCTCTCATGGCGTTTGCACGACGATCTGGTCGGCTTGAACTGCTGTGCCCAGCGCTCGAAAGTCGACCCGGGTCCCGGCTGGGAAGCAAGCGTCGTACGCCGCTATTAGTCAGCCAGCACCATCGCCAGCTGCCCGGACGCCTAAACCAGCCGCTCGAAGTACGAGCACGAACACGGATGCAGCCTCGATTGCTGCTGCGTCTCCACGAGCCACCCCTGCTGTTCCAACTGCGCATGTCTCGCTGGCCCCGGCATGTACACCAATGGCGACTCCATCGACTGTGGATGGCCCCAGTACGGATGCTACAGAACAGGGTGATGGAATGGGTGGTGCTATTCCGGATGCTACTGATCAAGCCGACATGGGGCATCGTTTGGCCGCTAATGCCAACCAACCGGATGCAGTGCGTCGTTCAGCTTCTCCTGCGGATACTGAGCAAGTTGATGGTGCTACTGAGGACTCTACAGACCAAGCTGGTAGGGCGGAAGCTACTACTCTGGATGTGACCGATCACACGGCGTCAGCACAAGTCATTACTCCGGATGCTACCGAGCAAGGTGGTGCGAATTCCGGATCCTACAGAGCAAGGTGGTGCGACCCACGACGCTATTCCGGATCCTACTGAAGACAGATCGAGGCCGTTCGACGATGAAGAAGCCAGGAGTGAGACCGACAATCCCCCCAACCAGTGCAAAGACTTCATCGATCTGGACGTGTTTGACAGCGACAACTTGATGGAAGGGCTGCGCAAGGAACGACTGTTTGGACCGACTGCTGAAGATGACGTGAACGTTGTAGCGACGGCTGATTTGAGCGACTGCGAGTCCGATGCGAATGATGAGGATGTTATGACCGACAACGCCATAGCTCCAGAAGATGTAGAAGACGTAGACGACGTGGAAAGGAATGAAGGTGATCTCGACACTGGGACGTTTGATTTGACTGATGACGATCTTCGGACCATTGCGGAAAGACGTTGGGTAACCTACGATGAGGAGCACAGCGGTAAGCCGGATGGTACAGAATGTGTGGATGTACAGTTGTGTTAATTCTGTATTATCCATCTTTATGATGATTCAGGAAATCTCCAAGTCGACGCCGCAACGGACTAATACGACGGGAAATATGGTCCCACCGGTTCTGCTATCGCCTACGCGGATTCCCCGTTGGGCATGTTCTTCTACTTTCTGCCCAAGGAACTCTGGGTTCGTATAGCTGAAGAGACAGAGCTCTACCGACTGCAGAATATCCCGGCAATGACAATCTCTCGCCGAGAGAAGTTGCTAGCCCGACAGGCCAAGGATCCGCGCGTGAGTGTGCCTAACGTGGAGGATATCGAAGCAGACTTGAACAAGTTCAAGCCCATTCAAGCGCATGAGATCGTGCACGTCGTAGCGCTACTCTTTGCTAGGGCTGTGGCGCCAATTCGGGATGGCGTAGCTCACCACTGGTGTACTGATGAGGATGGGGCTATTCCGCGCGGAACCTTCTCACGCTTCATGAAACGCCGCCGCTTCGAAGACATTATGACGTTCCTGCACTTCAACAACAATGAGGACGCCGGGGCCCACGCTGACAAGGCATGGAAAATTCGACCGGTGCTGCAAGCAGTCGAGAAAACGTTTCGTCGTGGATATCGGCTGGGGAAGTCATCTCGTTCGATGAAGGAATGATGCCGAATCGCAGCAAGTTCAACCCCATGCGCATTTTCATGCCGGACAAGCCCAGCAAGTACGGCACGAAGTTCTACATGACGTGCTGTCCTGAAACCGCATACTGTTCTAGGTGAGTTTTCCTGTTCTGTATTCCACTACATGTAATCCGGATCCTACAGAATAAATTAATCTGTATCTATGGAATTCTGTATGCATACAGAGTTGAGATTTACTGCGGTGCAGACAAGACAAAGAAGAAAAAGAAGAAGGCGCCCACAGCAACATTGGGGCTGGGACCAAAGGCTGTCGTGAGGAACATCACGAAAGCGCTGATCAACCAACCAATGAAGCGCTTGATTGTGACGGATAGTTTCTACTCCACAGTGTCGCTGAGCTTGAAGCTGCTCCGCATGGGCTTGTATCACGTTGGCACCACGAGAATCGATCGCTTGGGCTGGTGCCCGATCCATTTCACGCAAAGCAAACGCCCGCAGCGGATGCCAAGAGGTACCTACCGTATTGCACAAGCTCACGACTATCCTGAACTGGTTGCACTGAGCTGGATGGACGCTAAGCCGGTGAACATGCTCGCCACGGGGTGCAGCACCCACGTGACTAGCGTGCTGAGGACGGAGAAAGATGGAACGCGCAGCACGATGCCTTGTCCGCAGCTGGTCGTGGACTACGGCCTTGGCATGGGAGGGGTCGATGTCCACGACCAGCTACGACTTCAGCGTTACAGCATCCAGCGGTGCATATCCCTGCGCATGTACTACAAGCAGTTATTTCTGTGCCTCGTCGACATGGCTGTCGTCAATGGATACGTCGTGCATTGCTGGGTGCTCAAGAAAAGAGGAGAAAAGCCACCTACCCATGCTGAGTACTTGCGCCGCTTGCACACGCAGCTTTTGGCGCTGCGGACGATCAACTTTGAGACCCACCCCAACGCAGAGGACCTAGTGTCTGTACCAATCCCACGTCAAGACCACACATTAGCGAACACGGACAGCTTCTACTCTACCGCGAAGCAGTACAAACACCGACAGTACCTGTGCAAAGTGCGCTCTACATTTGCTGACTCAAAGACGAAGTCGTTCGAGACCAGCTACTTCTGTCCGCAGTGCAGCGATGCATTCGGAGGCCGCGTACCGCTTTGTCGTCAAGTACGACGAGGGGAGAGCGGGAACACACTGCCCTGCGCTAAGATCTGGCACGACACGTGGGGTGATGGCAACAGCATTTCAGCGAGCCTGAGAAAGAAGATTAGATTCCGTAAGCGTAAGCGAGAACAGGAGGAAGAGACGTAAGCGTGAGGTAGCAAGGTTAGTCGTGAGCTTTGCGTATCTTGTAACTGGGTTGCATGATGGACATCAAGGAGAAATCGCCCAGTACCTCCTCACTAATCCGTTAGTTAGGAACTGGGCGATTTCTTCCTCCGCGCTCTCTCGCCGTGAGAGCTGCCACGTGCTCTTCCTACCAAGAATTGGGGGTCTGCGCCAAAGGTGACAAATTTAGCAACATTGGAGGGTATTTATCGCTAACAGGTATTGCGCGTGCTCTACGCTCGCCATAGCCAATAGAAGATCGCTATTCTGACACATGTTGGATACATTGAGGATGTTATGTCCCACTTCGTAGCTGTTTTGTCCACCAATGCGTACCGATCTTGACCTCAGGATGCGAAAGGGCTTCCAACAGCAAATCTTTGACAGGTTTGAAGTATACTTTAATCAAGTTTAATGCTTATTCTGTAGGATACAGAATAAGAGTTGGGGTTAGAAGGGTTAAGGCGCTCGAGATTGTGTCTATGCTGGACCAATCAATGTCGTGCTCTCCACCGCAATCTTCCTCTCGCGTGAAGTTGGTGAAATCGAACTCCACATCCGACCTCCCACAGATGGCTAGCGTCCAAGCTAGCCTTCAGTGTGGCATCGCCATCGTCCACCTGGCCACGAGGCAACCCGAACAGCACCTCTTCGGGGTGATCAGAATCCAAAATGGCAGCAAACGACTCGATGTCCTCTTCACAAAGGGTTTTAATCCGAGCAAGCGCGAGGGATTCCAACGCGGAACACGCACGCGCGCGTTTAGAGAAGAAACTGTAAGCGATCCACTCCCACCACTCCTCCGTTGACACTCGGTCGAGACCGGGGAAGGCTAATAACAGAGCCAGATTTTTAGTCGTCTGATTCACGACCATTGCCGAGCCCATGGCTTGAACATCCGCAGTTTCCAACTCGGGGTGGCCCTTCATCACCACAGTATCAATCTGCAGATTAGTGGAAGCCCCAGTATCCACCGCAGGTTCCGAGCAGTAATTAATCTCACGAGGGCGGCGCGTGCTGTTAAACAAATTCGCCATCACCTTGCCGAAGACTTCCGTCGCCTCGCTGTCATCACCAATACGCCTGTTGCCCCACTGCGCAGTCATCTTCACTTCCGAGAACCGCATTCAGTTGGAAATCAGCTTGCCGAACCTCTTCGCTATCTTCGGCCACTGCGTCATTTCCTCCAAGTCGGCGATCATGGGCTTGAGTACAAACGTGCATCGCATCTCTCCACAAGGCACATCCTGCTTCTCCAGACGTTGCCACAGCTCCTGGATTGTCTGTTCACTGACCAGCACATTCTTCATAATCTTGGGCCCTCCGTCCGAGGAAATTCCATGACACGGATAGAAACACCGCACCGGAATCACCACGTCGACGCCAGGAATATCATCAACCTTTAAATTCGTGTCCAGCGCTGCAATCTTAGCCAGCGCGTTAACGTATTCCTTCGTGGGGGTTGTACGGTGGTCGACGCCACAGAACAGGACCAGGTCGAAGCCAACATGATCTTCAAAGCAAGTCCTCCAGTCCTGGTCCTGGTCCAGAATCAGGTAGTACTCGGCGGGGATATCCCTCGCCCACCTGGCGTCCCATTTACTACCCCCTAACTTTACCCCAAAATAATTAGAGAGCAGATACTTCCAGGCTGCTTGGTCCACGTGGGCCACTGCCGCCAATAGGGCGAGCGCCTCACGGACTTTTTTGAACTTTGCTCTAAACTCCATCTCGCCCGACCACTCGTCCAGGCCGTACTCGTACTCGTCGCCGTTCTCGTCCTCCGTCATGCCGCAGCGCATGGGCAGCTTCACCTCCAGGAAATACTTTTCATCCGACCAGAACTCCCACTCGCGGTCCACGCGCTTGTACGTGATGAGGTCCTTGAGGGCGCGGCACCACGGCCGCAAGAAGCCCCAGCGCCGATCCATCTCGGGCTTGCGCGGGGCCATTCTGTTGGATGGACATCAAAGACCTGAAGTGTACTCTGATTGGCTCGGAGTGTAAACCCCTAGTCAGTGATAAAACAAGATATGATGTTTTAGGGGTTTAGATCGTAAAAGTCGATTGAACCCACTTTCTGAGCCCTAAAACGATTCGAGCCATTGTGTTGTTTGCACTCATAAACTGCCACTTCTCATATTGGTTAAACTGCTACGTGGTAGCACCCTGCTACTTCGCCCAACATATAACATTGCTCCATTGGTTCATTTTGATGCAATGTCGCGAACGACCCCGCCGGCCGAGAAGACGAAATCGCCAATCCGAAGCAAGGCTACGCAATTCTGGGAGTTGCGCTCAGAGAGTTGGACTCCGACAGATTCAGCTAACGCAACCACCTTCTTCCGAGTCTTGGTTACTCCTTCTCTGGACCCACCGTGCTTGATTCGATCCCGTACATGTAGCACACAACACGAGGTATAGCAGCCATTGCACGCTCCAATGCGATGGTGTCTTGCGAGCCAGTAGTCGCCAAGTCAAAGTAGAAGGGCTTCGCGGCCAGTCCATCGAGGACCAGCAGCAACGCAGAATCCTCCACTGTGTCTGTCAAGTACCATTCCAACGCGGAAGCTCTCAGCGTTTGACGTTGCTCCGAATCCCATACCCTCGCGTGCTGTTGAGTATATCTGCACTAGAGCTCGAAAATCCACCAGCATCACTTTAGGAAGACACTTCAGTGCCACCAGCCTCTTTTCCAGTAAATTGAGAATGTCTTGGGCCTGGGGCTTCTTGGTTGGCAAAATCAAGTTGTGTTGGGAATGTGAAATATTTCTCCTCGCAGACGAGCGGTGGGGTTGCAAACTTGGCTTTAATCACGGCAGCGACCTTCCTGCTCAATTCGCGGACGAACTCTCCATCTACACGGCCTATCAATCCTCTTTGCAAGTCGGCAGGCAGCGCACTCACATCCACTGAGCCATCAGGGTCGACACAATCCAAAAGGGGCAGTAGCGGAGTCATCACAGCGTCCTCTAGCGCATTGTTGGTGTGAGTCTGGTGAAGATTCCCCGATTCGGCAACACCCATCACGCCACATAAATCAGAGAATACATCGATGAGGTCATCATTGAGTGTCATCATTGAGTGTCATCATGTCAAGAGAGAGCACTCGAGTGTCAAACAACTCCTTCGCGCACGTGTCTGCCGCTGCATTCAGTATGTCACGTGATGAAGCTCCCTTCAAAAACGATGTGTCATTTTCATCAAGGAGTCGAAATATCTTGGATGACTCCACGGGGCGGAGGTCTTTCCGATATTTACTCCATTTGTTCCCATGACGACCAATGCCTTGATACATCGCACTTACTGACGCTGGAGTAGAGCCCAGGCTGAGAAGATACGTGCGATGATACGCACCATGAACCGCCGTGGCGCGCGAGGGAGTAAAAATCATCGACGCATAGAGCTCCAAAATCTTTTCAAAAAACGGGATGCGGTCAAGGTACTCTTGCCCCACGAGCGCGTTGTAGAGATGCCCAAACGCACGGAGTATAGGTGTCGCCATTACAGCGGTGCTTGCGAGATATTGAAAATAGTAGATGTTGTCCACCATCATAAAACCAGCCATCAACGGGTTTAAACGCGCTGTACAATGGTCACGACTTGTCGATTTCATTTTGGCTGCGAACTCCTTCAAGATGTCGTGGACCTCTTTACTCGAAGCCAACAGCGCTCCTTTCGCCACCGTGGTCTCCATGATCCGTACCAATTCCCTCGAGTGCTTGAATGACATTATCACGTTACGACTGAGGCCGGCGTTCCCTTGAAGCGCTGCTACCGACTTGATCCAGCAAAGGCAAGCAAACACCACGGGGATGGTGACTTTGCGCGAGTCCAGTACCCCTCGATCACAGCCAAAAAGGAGCTCGTCAAATTTGACCGATCATAAGTCGACCCCGTTGCCTTGCGGGCACGGATCGTATTGTACAGGAACGGGAACTGCTGCACAAGGAACAAAACCGGCTTGTTCGCATCCAGAAGCATGTACTTTGGCGTGTGCTCCTCTCGATACTTTTCTCCGTACTTGCCAACACCACTCGTATTAACGTCGCGACTGTAATTCTCCGGGAAAATGAGCGCCAGATTGTGTAACGAGATCACCACACTCACAAATTCCGAGATAAATATGTACGGTACGAAGCAGCATTTCCCGTCCCGTTCAAAATGCCCTCGAACCTCATCAGCGCACACCGCCATCAGCTCCGAGAACTTTTCCGGATTCAGGTTCTCAATCAGAGCGATCACGTCTTACGCCGTCTTGAAGGCTGGGTAGTGCAACTGGAGCGTTGCTGCCTTGGAGTTAGCCATATCCATCGCCAATTTGGCCACGATCGTCTCCTCCACCATCGAGCGTTCTCCACTTTTCACTTGCTCGTAAACTTTAAAAACCTCTTCCACCAGCTCCTCCAGCTTCATAAAGAGGTCCAGGACCTCGAACTTCAGATCCGTAGCGAAGGCCTCGTTGAACACTCGCTCGCGCTCCTCCCTGGTCCGTTTAGAAGCCCCCTTGTCCTTCAACAGCGTCTCGGTATCGGGGAAATAATCTTTGTCTACCTCCAAAACGTTATAATAATTTTCAAACTTGGAGCTCTCCGACTGCACTGCCGCCTGTTGTTGCTCCGTCACCACCCCCTGTAAGTTAATAAGCCACGAGCGAAGCAGCTCCAGGAAGTGCTGGTGACCCCCGTCTCCGTCTGCGAAGAAGGACGCCACGTGTTGCCGGAACGTGATGGCGCATTGGCAGGCGGCGAGGGCCTTGGGCAGCTCCTGCATCAGCTTTGGGGTGAGGATCGAAGGGTTAGTAGCGATCTCCTCCACCACGAGGCTGAAGGTCTCCAGCTGCACGCGCCTGCCAGTGTGTCGCCCGCGGCCTCTTGCGCGCAGCAGCCAGTCCAGGAAGAAGGCGGTGGCGCGCTTGTAGCGCGAGTACTTGCTCGCGGGGAACGACGCCATCATTCGTATGGCTAGTGCAATACACTTTGTGCAATAAAACTGTTTGTCACCCGCTTTATTAGGGGTACTGGCAATATTAATCACAATCATAACGTTAGAATAAATTGAACCGCTTCAAGGATGCCCTTCGTGAACATTATCATTCCTTCAGCACGATGCTGTAGTAGTCCCAGTTCGGCTTGTTTTCTTCTTCATGCCAACAACACATTGGCACTTGGAGAAGTCACCCCTCTTGAAAAACACAGAGACCGCCCCTCTCTTGACCACGGCGCCTCGTGGAACTTCTCCTTCGTCGTTGCAATAGAACTCAACGACAGCAGAGTCATCCACTGCAAGTGCGGCATACTCGCCGCCTCGCGCGAATCGTGACCGATGCCCTTCCATTTTGGCACCATTCACGAATATCTCAAGCCCCCAGTGCTGGTTGCCATTGATTTAAAAAGCGATTCCGCCCTCACTTCGAAAAATATACGGTAACTCAGGGCAAATGGTGGTCGTCCGGAAGGTACTCATGGCAATTCCTTCCATCACTTGCTGCCCCCGTCAGGAAATCCATTGTTTCTGGCTGCGGTCTTTCGCAACATAGACGCAGACATACTCCCAATGACCTTCTTAACAAGTTCGCGCAGAGACTTCGGGTTGGAAGAGAAGGAAGCACGATAGGGGAAGAGCCACTGCGCATAATACCTCGCTGCGAATGGAGACGAGAATCCAAACTGGTTGTCGTCCTCCTCGCAGAGAATCCCAGTTTTCTTCAATGAGTCTTCAGAAAGCATTCGACCAGAAACTGTCGAATCTCCCTGCTGTCCAGAATGCAGTAGCATCTCGTAGTTTTGGCTGAAGCACCTTGGCGCCGTGTTGTGGCAGCTCCGTGACAACAAGTGTCTGATCAACTCACACTCCGACGGAAATACGGCGTAAAAGTCAGATTCAGCAGTATCGACTAAAATCCGCAACGCGCCAATGCGTCCACAAGCCTCACGAACCAGCAAGTCGATAAACTGTTTTTTCTTGAATCGATAAGGCAAGCCCATCAGTGGCAAATCCAGAAACTCCCTTGCTTCTTCATCGTTCAGCAAGAGATCACGTATCTCAAACGTCACGAGCGACTGCAACTCTGTGGGGATCTTGACTCCAGAACGTCACGTGTGGTTTGAACAGATGATGAAGCAGATATGCTCGGCTGCCATGACGGCGCCTCCGTGACCAGAATATTCCAAAACTCCAAGTCATCGAAATGTTCTTCAGCGTCGTTGAGCATGATCACATGCTGTTGGTCTTTGCTGAGGGTTGATTTGTGCTCAAGAATGTCTAGTCCTTCCAACCGCAACTTTGTGTTAACCGACAGCCCCCCTCGGCATAGTGGAACATACATGCAGTTCAAGTGGGTGTACCGATGAGCATACAGGATCAACAGCGAGGACTTTCCCGAGGCTGAAGGCGCTGATAAGAGGACGAATCGGTTGTTATCCGCCCACAAACTCGTGTACACTCTTTCCATAAGTTCTTCGCGCTCGAGGTGGGGCGAGTCCGTGCTCAGGCCGTGCAGATAAATCTGGTTAACAAAGATCGGCGCGTTCAGCTCCACTTGCACAATTAGAGCTTCCTCCAGTTTTACTCCAAGGCCATCCAGTGGAGTTGCCAGCCGTAGAGGTTTCTTGTCTTCCTCCGGTACGCGAGGGTCGTAGATATTCACCTGACTTCGATTGACCCCACGCAACTCTTGCGAGCACTTGCGAAGGATCTTCTCTAGAAAGCCATTCACGACGCTAGCCCCATCCAACATGACGAACTCTGTCCGCCCATCGGGAAGCACGAACCACACCTATTGCGCCATCGAGGCAGTTTTCCAGCTTGTCAAAAGTACGGCACACTCACTTTCTATTTTTTCTAAGTATTTTTTCCTCGTTTTTGAAACATCACTTCAACATGAGAATCACAGTCGGTTGCACCATCTCGGCTCCTGATACCGATTCCTTATCTGATCCCTTCCTCCTCCATTTCGTCGGCTCGACTGTAGGTCGCACGAGCAATTCAAAAACGGCAAAGCGGTTGTCTAGGGTTCCTACATGGAACGCACGCAACGACACTACCCTCTTTCGTGCAGAAAGTTTTGGCCAATCGCATGGTGCAAATTGTTGTCCGACAAACTGTCTTACGTTTTGACGGACAAAATACAATGCAGCCACTGGTATACTAAAACCAAGATGTAGCCAAAATGCGTTGATTGCAAAACGCAAGACGCTTTGTCTTACGGTAGGCTCTCTGGGGCTAAATATCGTCTTACGAAAGAGCATGAATCCTAAATGATCAATCTTGTCTTCCCGCAGTAGTCTCTTGCTGCCTGGCTGGACGGGTGCTGCAATTAAAAAAAAAAGTGGCGGCCAAGATGACAGACACCCAGCACGGGTTGCTACGGCTCGTGCGAGATCTGCAGGCGAAGGAGACGCTGTGTTGCGCCGACGGTGTGTCTCTCGAGCAGCTAAACCGTCACGTGATGACGCACGGTCCGTTGGTGCATCCCGTTCTTGGCGACCTCCCTGGCTTCTTCGTCGATGATGGCCGCTTTATTCCATTTCGGATGGCCGTCCCCGGTCGCTCCGTGATCAGACCGCAAATTATCACTTTACTTATCCAGTGGGTCAAGTGGGGTGTCCACGGTGGAAGAGTGAGCGCGCAAGGCAAATATTTTCTGGACGGCACGCTGCTCCGGGCCCCCGATGTGGCCTACACACCTCGCCCAGACACTAGACAAGCAACAGATTCACCTGAGTGGACTCTTGGTGGGGCTCCTTTTGCTCCGACTTTCGTGGTGGAAATCGACACCCTCGCTGGGCCGCATTCAGGGCTCGAGGCCCTTGACGACAAGCTGCGACGTGAGTATTTCCCTAATGGCGTTCAATTGGGGTGGCTCATTGATCCCGCGAACAAAATCATGTACGAGTACAAGCGTGATGCCCAAGGAAATAATGGACTCGTTCGACGCGTTGACGATGAAACTTGGAGAGATCTCGATGGGGGCACCGTTTTGCCAGGATTTCAACTACAAGCAGTACTTCTGGATATGGTGTTGAGCCCCCAGGTGTCTGGCTCGTCATCGGAAGAGGAGGAAGAAGAGGACCTGGTGTGCCCCTATTCAAACTGCAGAGAGCGCTTCAGAACTTCTACTCCAATCGCTGCCCATATTGCGAGGCACCAACACGAGAAAGCCCTAGCGAAGTATCTGGCGCAGTAAGAGCCGCTAGTTTGCACGCTGAAAGAACCGTTCGCCGCGAGTTATGTGATTTGCAATCGTAAGCAGCACGCTTAAAGTGCAATGGAAAGAGTATGATCACTGGAGTTGGTTTCTGGAGTTTGGGGCTCGAAGATAAGTCACCAACATACATCAATGTCGGGGGGTTAATACGGACAGCCAAACTATTCTCGAAACCCGTTATTTCCATCATCATATACAGGCACAAATCAATTAAACATAAATCCCAACAAAACGCGAATCGTTATCGTATGCATTCATGCCGCTACAGCATTGCGAAAGGCTCCACGCACCGAAATCTCAAATTCACCGACGCGCACGGAGCTTGTGGAAGCCTTCGAGCTTTCATCATCAAACTGGACCCCAACACCTTTAGCAGCCTCCACCATGCTTTCACGGACTTGCTTCACCTCCACTTTGGTGGCGCCACCGTACACCACCCGTTTGCCTTCTCCGCGAAGACACACCACTCCACTCAGCTCAGAAATCCCCTTCACCGCTGACTTGAGTTCATCGAACTGCTCGTTCGTCGTATCCACTGTGGTCGTCAACTGGGTGAACCAGTCCGTCAAGTCCTCGCAGAAGCTTAGCGCTCCCCAGAGCGGCGTCAAAGAACCATTCCAACGCCCGCAACGCTTTGGGGCTCGACGCACGCCCCATACCCACACTATCGCGCGCTGCAGAGGACATCTGCACGACCGCTCGAAACGCCGACGGATCTCGTTTGTCGAAGGGCGTTTTCAGCAGTCGCTTCTCCAACACATCTAGAATTTCACGAGCTTGAGGCTTCCTGTCCATGGAAACCAGGAGTTGTGCCGTATGTACCACGAACACGGTGAACTTGGTGTCACAATTCTCCTGAACATGTCGAACAAGAAGGCTTGTGGTAGCTAAATCACTCAAGCGATGAAGCTTCTGCATCATGTGAATAGTTTCAAACGACTTCTTGGCCACGAAGACCCGTAGAGAAGGGTCAGTAGCGTTTAATCGGTTGGGGTGGGATAGAAATTTAGCCAGGCTCTCCTCTCCAACTTAATGACCAACTTGGTGGCTCGTTTGGCGTCTTCCAGTTTCATGTCGTCGGGAATGCTTGGATCTCCCAGGCGTTGAAACAACGCCGGTGCATTATCAAACAAGTCCTGAAGCTCGGTGTGACGATTTGAGGAATTATCTGCATCCTTTTCATCCGTCTTCGAGTTCGGCGACAGTAGTAGTTCTTTCATTTGTCCCGAAAGTTGCGCTGATTCTTCATCTGGCATCGCTGTCGGTGAGGCAACACCTGCACTCCCGTTCGCTTCACCTCTCTTCTTCGCTTTAGCTTTTTGTTTGCTGTTTGAGGAACCCGAACGCTGATGCGCTTCTTCGCGCTGCGGAGAAACTGATTTTCGTAGCTCCTGCATTAATGAGTCTCGATGGGCCATGCTCCTCATAGATCCTCGAACCGTCTTCCTTTGCAGAATACTGGACACAATTTTGCCCCTCCACTGCTGATCCGTAGTTACATCACATACACGCTTCCCGTTGCTATCGCGAAGAGATAGATCGGCCCCTACCGAAACGACCAGATCGTACACATCCCGATGGCCATGTTTGACAGCCAAATGTGCAAGTGTTTCGCCAACGTAAAAGGTTGGCGTGTCCAGGTCCAGCATGTTGTCTGCACCCACAATCGTGCACACAATGTCATCGTGACCTGCAATTGCGGCACTGTGTACAGCCATTGTATTCGAGAGAACCACCCCGTCGCACTTCACGTTCCGCTGTCTAGACTTCTTCCGACAATGTAGTGGCTGACTACCTAGCGCCCCCATTTGAATCATCCACTCGACGAGGTGCAAATCGTGACTAGGGCTGGCTGCGGCTTGGTGGAACAGTGCACAGAGATCGTCGTCGGGATATCCAACCGCATTGACGTCAATTTCGTCCGATTCTTTACGGAGGGACACCATGGCCAGCAGGTCAGGATCTTTCTTGATTTCGTCTTTCAGGTGCTCCAACTTTCTTTCATGGAGTGGACCATTGCTTGTTTGCAGCAAGTTCATCAGCTCGTGAAACACCTCCTCATGGTTTTCCGCCTCCGTATACCCCTTCGAAGACGCCGACCCATACTCATGCCGGACAAAGTCCGCCTGGGTGGGGTAAGTCAAGTATTTATCCTCGCAGAAGCCTGATGACGACGCAAATTTGGCTTTGACTATGGCTGAAATCTGTCTGCATCCTTCATGGAGACGCTCGCTTCCCATATTCTCGTTACGAGCTTCCGCCGGAATCATACTGGGGTCCATGGTACTACCATTTTGCTGCAAGGAATCCAACAGTGCCAAGACAGGCCTCAAATTCTCCAACGCGCGATCGAGGCGATCATTCCGAGACTCCCCAGGGACCGCCTCAGGAAGTAGATCGAGGTACCCTTCGCTCAACACGTCGAACATTTCACAGAGTACATCAGCAAGATCGCCGTTGAGCGTCACCATGTCCCGAGAGAGAACACGCGTCTCAACTACTTCCTTCGAACAAATATCGGCAGCTTTCTCCAGCAGATCCTTCGGTGATGCGCCTTTTAGAACAGAAGCGTCATGATGATGAAGCAAGCGATATATCTGGGACAAATCCTCCATGTTAGGTTTCTTCCGGTCTCGATACGATTCACTTCCAGCTGAAAGTGTACCTTGGTATACTCCACGGACTCCAGTCGTACTAAACCCCGTGCTAAGCAGATAAGTGCGATAGTAAGAGCCACGCACCGCCGTAGCTTGAGAAGGAGTGAATATCATGTGCTCGTAAATCCTCAATACGTCGTCGAAAAACGGGATATGCTCGAGATAACCTTCGTTCACAAGCGCATTGTACACGTGGCCAAACGCACGAAAGGCCGTCGTCGACACCACCAGGTCGTGCGCGATGCGCAAAAACTGGAAGTCGTTATCCAGTTCGAAGAAGGGTTTAAGCGCGCAACCTGCTGACCTCGACTGGATGCCGCTAAAACTTGTAAAAATCTGGTCGTAGAACCGCCTCCGGTCGTCTTTGAAGCCAAGCCTCCATAATCCCCTTTATTCGCGTTGAGTGCTTAAACGCAAGGCTCACATTGCGACCGAGATCAGCATTTCCTTGCAGCGCCACGACTGACTTCATCCAAAAAACGCAAGTCATGACAGCCTCGACTGAAGCCTTGCGTGAATTGAACTAGTCCACCGTGAGCTTCATAAATGAGCTCACCAATCCAAACTGATCGAATCCAGATCCAGTGTGGTTCACCCTATCCACATACGCGTTGTACAACATCGGCAACTGCTGCGCGATCAGGATGACCAGTCTAGAGCTGGGGTCTGGTAGCACGTACTCAGGAGTCCGGTCTTCTCCATAACTTTCCCCCAAAGAGCCCTGTAGAAACAACCTGCCTCCTTTGGTCGACTCCGGGAAAAGGCCCGCAAAAGTCTTCAACGTACACAAAACGTTCTCGAAGTCAATCAGCAGCATGCCTGGAACATGCGTGAAAGGCGTCCCCTCCTCAAACTTCTGCCGCGCAGCAGTGACAGCATTGGAAACACGCTTCTGAACCCTCTCGAGGATTTGCTCCCTGAGTAGAGTGAATACATCTTCCGCCGTCTTGAGTGCTGGGTATTTCAGCTGCAACTGCGCCGTCATTGAGCTAACCGTGTTCATGGCCACTTTCGCCACTGTGGCCTCCACCAGCGTGTGTTGCTGCTTCTTCACTTGGTCGTAGACGTCAAACACCCCCTCCACCAGCTCCTCCAGCTCCAAGAAGTAGCTCACCAGCTCCAGCTTCAGATCTTCAGCGAACGCCTCCTCGAACAGCCTCTTCCTGTCCGCCTTGGCTCTCTTGGGGACCCCAGAGGCCCCAAAGCCCGTGTCCTCGTCAGGGAAGTAGTCCTCGTCCACCTGTAGAATGTCGTAGTAGCTCTCGAACGGCTCTACCGGGGCCTGGTACCTCCATCCCCTTCAGAGTGTCGAGCCAGCTCCTCAGAAGCTCGAGGAAGTGCATTGACACGCAGCGAGGGCCTTGTGAAGCTCCTACAGTAGTTTGGGCGTGAGACTCGACGGATCCGCCGCAATGTCCTTCACGATGACGCAGCTGCACGCGCTTGCCTGTGTGACGTCCGTGGTCACGCGCGCGTAGCAGCCAGTCCAGGAAGAAGGCGGTGGCGCGCTTGTAGCGCGAGTACTTGGACGCAGGGAACGACGACATGCGCGCTAGACTTGCTTTTCATCAAGAGTGATTCATGCTCTTTCGTAAGACGATATTTAGCCCCAGAGAGCCTACCGTAAGACAAAGCGTCTTGCGTTTTGCAATCAACGCATTTTGGCTACATCTTGGTTTTAGTATACCAGTGGCTGCATTGTATTTTGTCCGTCAAAACGTAAGACAGTTTGTCGGACAACAATTTGCACCATGCGATTGGCCAAAACTTTCTGCACGAAAGAGGGTAGTGTCGTTGCGTGCGTTCCATGTAGGAACCCTAGACAACCGCTTTGCCGTTTTTGAATTGCTCGTGCGACCTACAGTCGAGCCGACGAAATGGAGGAGGAAGGGATCAGATAAGGAATCGGTATCAGGAGCCGAGATGGTGCAACCGACTGTGATTCTCATGTTGAAGTGATGTTTCAAAAACGAGGAAAAAATACTTAGAAAAAATAGAAAGTGAGTGTGCCGTACTTTTGACAAGCTGGAAAACTGCCTCGATGGCGCAATAGGTGTGGTTCGTGCTTCCCGATGGGCGGACAGAGTTCGTCATGTTGGATGGGGCTAGCGTCGTGAATGGCTTTCTAGAGAAGATCCTTCGCAAGTGCTCGCAAGAGTTGCGTGGGGTCAATCGAAGTCAGGTGAATATCTACGACCCTCGCGTACCGGAGGAAGACAAGAAACCTCTACGGCTGGCAACTCCACTGGATGGCCTTGGAGTAAAACTGGAGGAAGCTCTAATTGTGCAAGTGGAGCTGAACGCGCCGATCTTTGTTAACCAGATTTATCTGCACGGCCTGAGCACGGACTCGCCCCACCTCGAGCGCGAAGAACTTATGGAAAGAGTGTACACGAGTTTGTGGACGGATAACAACCGATTCGTCCTCTTATCAGCGCCTTCAGCCTCGGGAAAGTCCTCGCTGTTGATCCTGTATGCTCATCGGTACACCCACTTGAACTGCATGTATGTTCCACTAAGCCGAGGGGGGCTGTCGGTTAACACAAAGTTGCGGTTGGAAGGACTAGACATTTTTGAACAAGAATCGAGCCTCAGTGAAGACCAGCAGCATGTGATGCCGGTCGACGGCGCGGAAGAACTGTTCGATGACAAGGAGTTTTGGAATATTCTGATCACGGAGGCGCCGTCGTGGCTGCCGGACAACGTCCGCTTTATCATCTCTGCTGGGACCACGCAAAGATCTGGAGTCGAGAGCCCCGAGGAGTTTCAAACTATCGTGACGTTTGAAAGACGTGATTTCTTGCTTAGTGACGAAGAAGCGAGAAAGTTTTTGGATTTCCCAGGAATGGGTTTGCCCGATCGATTCAAGAAAGAACAATTTGTCGATTTTCTGGTTCGTGAGGCCTGTTGGGCTTGTTAGCGCGCTGCGGATATCGATCAACGCAGCCAAAGTGGAAATCGACGACTATTCACCGTCAGCATCTCGATTGATGAGGCACTTGTTGTCACACAACTGCCGTACGAGAGCGCCAAGGTGCTTCGGCCGAGACCACGACACGCCGATCAGTTCGAAGGCTCGACAATTTCTGATCAAATGTTTCCTCAAGGCTCCACACCCTGTGCAACTACCATCCAAAATGGCAACGAAACTTACTACGAGTGACATTAAGTGCCTCACGGCATTGAAGAACGCTGGAATCCTCGTCGAGGATGACACTAAACTGATGGGATTCTCGTCTCCGTTCGAAGCAAGATACATTAGCCAGTGGCTCTTCCCGTACCGCGCAGCTTCCGACCCAAACTCCCTGCAATAACTTGTCGAGACAGCTATTGGGAGTATGTTCGTATCTGTGTTGCGGAAGGCTGCAGTGAAAGGCAATGAATTTCCCGGTGCGGGTACTTTCCAAGCGCAGTTGATGGAAGGGATTGCTGCGAATACCCTTCGCACCGCCAGCATTTGTCCTGAGTTGCCCCACGTCTTTCATAACAAGGGCGCCATCGCTGTCTACATCAACGGCAACCAGCACCACTGGGGACTACTAAGTAGACTTATTCGTGAATGGAGACATTACCCGAAGACTATCAGACACAATTCTCAAAGAGCGGCGAATATGCTGCGCTTGAGGTGGACGACTTCGCTGTCCTTGGGTTCTACGGCAACGACGATGGGGTGGCTTCCCCGGACATTGTCGCCACGGAAAAGGTGATTCCTGTGTTTTTCAAAATGGGGGACTTCTCGATCTGCCAGTGCGTTCTTAAGAGAACGAAAACGTCGAGAGTTACGCTATGTCGGCGACTACGATCGTACTCGAGGACTGATCACGGTGCAGCAGAAAGCCATGAGCTCGAAGCAGTTTAAGATTTTGTTTAGGCAAATACATAATAAAAACCGCAAGTCTGAATCTGGTGTCGTCACTTCAGAAAAGCGAAGCTTAGTCCCCCCGCCGAATGCGCGAGGAAGCTTCTTTAGCTCGTTGTGAACCGCTACACTAAACGTCAAATGGGTCGATCTTCGCGGAGGACGCAAATGCCGTCGCGCAGTGAGTCAAATGCTCCCCCAGGCAAGAATTGAGACCTTGCAGCGATTCTGACCAGCATCCCGTGCTGAGAGGAGACATAAGTATCCCACACGCGCGGCGGAGCTCGTGCTCGGTCGCAGAGTGAAGGCAATGGTCATGTTTTGCCCCATCAAATAATAGCTCCGCGAAACGCCGCGCTATTTTTTAGGGACGATCTTGCAACACTTCAAGGCCCAAAGCTCGCTGATTTATATTTTGGGCCATCGCATTCCCGGATTTGCGCGCTTCCCGCTATCGGAGCCCTCCGCCGGAAACGACCCAAGCCATGGAGCCCGTGCGGCTGCAGCGCCAGCAGCAGGTGCCCGCCGACCACCGCGCCGAGCCGGCGCTGACGCCCGAGGACCAACTGGCGGCGCCGCTGGCCGCCGTGAAGCTCGCGGAAAGCGGCGACTTCCCGCGCCTCTTGGTGGCGCTGGCGCTGCGCCCGCGACTGGCGAGAGCCGCCGATGCCTTCGGCATGACGGCGCTGCACTGGGTTTGCAGCGACCCCAAGGCGCCGCCGCGCGTGGTGCTCACCGTGGCGCGCGCGCACCCGGCCGCGGCCGCCACGCGCAACCTGGCGGGGCTGCTGCCGCTGCACCTGGCCGTGCGCAAGCGGCTGGCGCTCGAGGTCATCCAGGCGCTGCTGCACGTGTACCCCAAGGCCATCGGCGTGCGCACGCCGGACGGCAAGACGCCGCTCATGCTGGCCAAGCAGCGACCCGTGGCTTCCAGCGCCGTGCTGGCGCTGCTGCAGGTGCTGGAGGCCCACGCGCGGACGGGCGCGCCGTCCACCACGGCAATTCCCACGTCGCAGTGGCCTGGGGAGAGCCCGGAACAGGACCAGCAACTTCAGCAGAGTGAGCACAGCAGGGAGGCCAGGATGTCGGACAGGTTTAGCACTAGCAGGTCCATGACACAGGAAGAGACGCTCGCGGCGCTGATGACGCCACACGTGCCTCCCCCACGATGGGCACTAGCCTCGAGGTGCAGACTGTGCGCCGCCAAATTCGGCTACTTCCGACAGAGGCACCACTGCCGCAGCTGCGGGGCGTCGGTCTGCGGACGACACTCGAGACATCGGGTGCCGCTGAAACACCTCGGTCTGTTCCAGCCACAACGCGTGTGTGCCTGTTGCTTTGATGAACTGCAGAAGCAACTGAATGTGCGCGCCTTGGAGCTCGTGACTCGCACGGGGGGGGCCTACCCGTACATTGACACGGGCGACTCGACCAGCAACTATTCCAACAACTCGACGAATATGCACGCGCGCTACCGCAGACGCAGCAAATCGGTCTTCAGTGAGCCGACCCAACGCCATGGATCGATTGAATGGGGATACGACAACGACAACAACAGCGACGTCAACATGAATGGCTTCGCTCCTGTGCCAGCCCCGTGGAATTGGAGCACAGCGGCGTCGGAGGCGGTGGAGTCATTGCAGCCCTCCATGGGCTCCATGTTCCTGTCGGTTGCACCGGCACAGCCGACGGTACTGGAGCGCCAGCGGCTACTTCGCGAGCGGCAGGGACATTCGATGGAGTCCGAGCCGGAGCCTAGCCGACGCCGCAGCAGGGCGAGACGACCTCGGCCACACTCTTCGGCTCTGGATCGATCGCTGCACGTGCAGCGACTGTCTGAAGTTGATTCCTGTTGCTCGAGCGATGAGCAGGAGCTGGAACAGCGGATGCAGCAGCTGATGGCCGCAAAACGTGAACTTGGAGAGGCTATGCGACGCAGCGAGGAAGAAATCGAGCGAGCAGAGCGCGAAAAGCGCGTGTTGAATGCTGTTGCCGACAAATACAGGGAGAGTGGGTACTCCAGCCCTCCAGAAGACGAAGATGAGGACGAGGAGGCAGAAATTGCAGCAACGTTGGCCTTTTTGAACGGAGGTAGAAGGCTGAGCAGCACTGCTGACCTACTCGCGGAAATGGAGCCACCTCTCGATGTCGCAGCCACGCACCACGAACTCGGCGAAGCGCTCCTGAGCAAAGGGGACTTTGAAGGGGCTGTGATGGAGTTGCAGCGTAGTGTGGAGCTGGACGGTGAAAATGCAGCAGCGTGGCTCCACCTAGCGAAAGCATTGGACGGAACAGGCGAAAACAGTGTAGCAGCTGAGGATGCTGTACGACGTGCACTCGAACTGGAGCCAGCATCGATTGGGGCATTATCGCTTCTAGGGAAGCTACTGCACTTGCGTGGCGACCATGACGACGCTATCCTAGTGTTTCGGCAAGCGCTCGAGCTGCAGTGTCCAACTGGTAAGCTCTCTGGCCAAGAAGCAGAGGACACCGACGCTGAGCACCTTGGTGTGGCAATGTAGACACGGCAAGCATCAAGGCTTGACTTCGGCGTATCGTGCTATACCAAAGCTAATCATCATTAATATTCGTTTGTATCCTGAGCCCACCGCTTCTTTGAGTAGCTGTTGCTAGTATTTAGTGCCGAATGTGGAGTTGATGAACTTGAGGCTCAGTGATACGTCAACTTGGCTCACCCAGACCTTGGTCCTCTTGGCAGAAGACGCGAGCTTTGTCAAATGAACAGCAAGTTCATTGCCACGAAGCACGTCTTGGAATTGCAGCTGGAACCGTTTTGCCTCTCCTCCACTGGAGCTCACGGACATGTCGAAGCCGCCCTCATCATCGTGTTGCTGCTGTTGGGTAGATGCGTTCTTCAGTTCCAAAGCACGCGTAAAGCCCCAAACTGGCGCACACTCGGCGTCCCACAGCGTGAAATCCACCAGGAGGCAGTTGTCCATCGCGTACTTGACTGCTTCCGTCTCCAATCGCAACGTTGGCTCAGTCTCTGATGTGAGCACGCGGTCTCTAGCGGCGACAGTTCCTCCATGAACGTTGTCCAGCAGTTGAACCGTGACACTTTGAGCACCAGCCTCAGGTGTTGGGAACTCGACCTGGTAAACCTCGCGCTCCCAGAAGAGCTCGTCAAGCGATCTCAGACTGATTGCTGCTGTGTAGGAATGCAGCCCATGCGTACGATCTAACTCGTCATCACGGCGGACTTGTGGCGCTCGTTGAGGTGCCGAGTACAGCAGCTCCGTCGTATGCAGCTGCAGGAAGAGCCGAGCAACGTCACGCTTTTCAGTCCACACTAGCGCCAGGAGGGAGCTGGCGTTCCAGTCACCGAGAGAAATCTCATAGAGAGCCAAACCAACGCGACGATCAGTCTCCGCGACGAGCCTCCAGGCCTTGCTGCTAAGAGCGTTGCTGTTAGCCAGCGGGATACAGCGGGGTGTAGGCATGGCTGCGGAGGTAACCAAAACTCGAACGTCTTTCAGCGATGTCAGAGTCAACTCCGTGTCCGAGGGCGAATACTGCAGACTCAGTCCGTACCGAAACCTCCCAGCATCCGGTCTGAAGCGCCATCCTGCAGTCGTCGACGTCGGGCGTCTTGTCCCTCCAGAGGCTGCAGCAGCGACTGTCGGGGCTGGCGGGGCCTTGGGCCGCAGCTCTTCCCCGTTCACGAACAGGGTTCGTGCAATCCTCAACGTTGCCAGCAGCTTCTCAGTCGACTGGACGAGCGAGTGGGGCTGGAGACGCCGAAACAGCTCATCAGCCTTCGTCTTGGCAACCAACGTTGATGAAGAAGAAGAGGTACTTGCCAGCGAAGACGAACTCGACGCCGGCGTTTTAATCTTCGCCGCTGCGGAACTCGGAGTACGAGAAGCAGGAGCTCGTTTGAAACCAGACTGCTGGTTGTCCTCGGCAGCGCTGTCGCCGCGAAGCAGACGCACCGATCGCTGCGGGGGATATCTCCTCATTCTTCCAGCTTTCAGCCCCGGCTTGAAATGCCGACTCTTGGGCCCAAGAGTCTTGGCGAAGGTCTCCCAGATATGGAAGCATGCTGTTCACATGTGAGGCCACAATGTAATGCAGACCTCATGCAGACCTCGTTGCCACCAACTCTTTCATTCATTCCTGCTGGAACAGAATGGCAACCCCCCCCCCCCCCAAA